ATGTACCTCGAAGTCGTGTAATTAACGTTGAGCTTATCGTGTAAATGTCAACTATGTCCTGCCGTTCAAGTTAGAGTCAATCTTAGAGTCAATCTATGTTTATTGTCTTATTTGTATAGGTTTAATATTAACATGTTAATGAGGTTTTTTATGTACATAGGTTCTCACACAGTGGAAAGTGTCTCTTGAGAATCATCTTAACAGATTGACAATTCATTATTTTAACCTGATTATATTATTAACAGATCAAGCAAAAATATATAGGCCTATTGAGTAAACCTTACACTTTCACAAAATAAATAGTGGTACATGTCTAACAAAATCCTCAGAGAAAACTAACAGTTTCTTATTGAGAACCAGAAAGTTTAGTGAGAATAAAACATGTTAAAGACACATTATGTAATACAATCTAGAAACAATGTACATGAAAATCTGCTCATTGCAGGTCGTTTTTCTGGCTTCAAATCTTTTATAAATTATTATTTAGACATTAATTCACATGACAACCCTATAATCAACTCTGTAGACCATCGGATGGCCAAGATTTAAATGAATTTGAACAACGCCCAGAATAAAATAATTTGAATGAAATTTTCAATATATCCATTTTTTTTTATAACCTTTTTTCGAACCATTATAGCAAGAACAGCCAGCTCTTTATTTAAATCTTACATAAAGCATCTTTAATGTACAATGTGCTGATATTTCAGCAAATAAGTTTCAAAATTTTGAGTAAATGTCTGGATTTACTCATACTGTAGATACATTTATATTAGAAAGACCAAAATGAAATGAAATGGGTTTTAACGTTCTACTGTTCTGCTCCGAACTGGGCTAATGAAGATGGACATACGCCATACAGTGTGCTATGAGGGAAATTTTGCCTGGGCAGCGGCACTACGGCCTACTCTTATATCGAATTCCAACTGTCAAGGGATCTTTTATATGCACGCCAATGTGACCTCGTTTTTTTGTCCCATCCTAACGGCTAAACAGCTGTCCTTGTCTGGCTCTCCGTCTTGACAAGGGAGAACCACGCCGGAAAATCTGGATGAACTTTCTCAGCCAATGCAGGGATCGAACACCGGCCCTCCGGGCTAGCGAGCCAGCGTCTTACCCACTTAGCCATCATGACCCCCTTAGAAAGGCAAAATACAATTAATCTGCAGTTTCACACTGGTAATGGGAATACAAGCAAAGTAATACAATATCTAGGTTGATCAACCAAAGCCTAATAGGTATTACATTTTTGGTGATAAAGTATTTCATTTGAATCAAATTAGTCCTGAAGTCAGTACAAGTATATATTTTCCCACGACTATCTGAACTGATTTACACAATTCTTGCTTATTTTGAATATAAATATATGTAAATGTACAGTGTTAATGATCCTTGGTTTGTTTTGAAAGATTTTTATAAGATTGACATCCGATGATAATGACTAATTCACTAACTGACTGAGATATCCGTAAGCATTTATATTACAATAAGAACAAGAAATCACCTCTTGACAAGAGATCCTGTTATAAATGATAAAAGATCATTTCCTTTCCAATGTGTCATTTATATGATTAATTTATGCCATATTGGTGGATGCGTCTTAACATTTGTAAGCACTTGTATGATTCTTATAATGTATGGGCCTAGTAATATCCTTGATTTTCATGATGGTCATCAGCATGAAATATCATTTCTTTGTTCAGATTATTATTCATTCTTCTTATTATGCTTTTCCCCAGAAATTTCTAAAACTATCTGCGAAATCATAGACTTATTGTTCGATGAAATACTATTGTCCATCTAAAAATAACCATCTGATTTTAACGATTGGGAATGTAGTTCAAGAGGTTGTGACTATCTCCAAAACTACATATTCGTTGAAATATTGTTGTCAATTGAAAAAGGATCGTTCGACTTAAACAATTGGTAAATATTTCCATACCCATTACCCATAGACATGGATGGCCGTAAATAGATCTTTGTAAATAACACATGTACATGTACGTCCAGAATTTTGAAAATTTGAATTGTTACAAAAACTGTTCATGTTTATTAATATTTTTGGACGACATTTTCCATACATATAGGGTTCACAGGTGGTCTAAATGGAATAAATGAAATAAGATGAAATGGGTTTAACATCCTACTTCTCTGCACCGAATGGGCAAATGAAGACGGGCATACAGTGTACTATTCTTATTCTGAATTCAAGGGTTCTTTTACGTGCACACTAATGTGTACACAGGACCTCGGTTTTTCGTCTTATCCAAACCTGAACGGAGTAAAAGACACATGAGCAACTGCACTCTCAGTGATTTTCCTTAGCCACAATTCACTGATTCAGCTCATAAATTATTTATTAATTGTCCAATTTGTATAAAATAAAAGTTTGTGTGATCTGAAGTAACTAAAAACATATTTTGTCTGCACCAGTAGTAACGCTATTTAAACTAATATTTCTGGATTTCATTTGACACGTTTCATGGGTAACATTACACATACATGTACATAATTTAAAGATTAAAGGTGAAATCCTGCATAGCTGCATCACAGATCTAGTTTAATTCTTTTTTTTAAATCACACTACAATGTAGTTAATCATACCAGTTACCTTCAATGTATGACATTCATCTTTTTCCCTTGAGGGGGGGTGGATGTCTGAATGGTTAGCACGTGCGCACTGTACCATAAAGTCTGTCATTGAGTCAACTGGCGTGGTTTCGAATCCCCAGTTGTACGTGGCAAGGAGTAGGGTCGCCTGTCCAACCTCGTGGGTTTTCTCCAGGTCCTCCGGTTTCCTCCCACTGCTAAAGACCCCTACGCGCAAGCGAATTATTGAAATAAAATTAAACCATATGTTAGTCCCGAAATGACCTAGTTTGTGTCGAGTGGACGTTAAACCACAGTTCTCTCTCTCTTTTTCCCTTGAAGATTACAATATGCTTTACATAAAAGATAGGTTGCCAGGCAACGAAACATACGCCCACAGCAGCTAAATTGTCCGGGCAGTCAACAAGAGTTGTCGCAAATTTTTACTTTTTTCGGTAATGAAACATTTATAATACACACTAAAATCCGATTAAGAGCAACAACTCAGAAAACCATTAGAATTTGTTTGCTTTTTGTAAAGTTCTGCCCCATGCTAACGTTTTGTATACAAAACTTTTAATATCATGGATTTAGCTCTTCCAAGTCATAAAAATTCATTGAAAATCAATATAGTTGTTCGGCTCAAGATCTTAAACTCTGTGTATCCATCTTAAGTCAATAAGATGACAACTTTAGCCTTTAGAGCATCACAAGATTTTGCAAAGTGATCAAGGGCCATAACTTTGGCAGTAATTATCGGAAATCGTTCAAAATCAATAGGATTCTTCATCTCATGACCTTAAACACTGTGTATAAATTAAAGGTCAATCGGATATTAACTTTGGCCTCTAGAACATCCACAAGGTTTTTCAAAGTGATCAAGGGCCATAACTCTGGCAGTAATTATCGGAAATTGCTAAAAATCAATAGGATTATTTGTCTCATGACCTTAAACACTGTGTATGAATTTAAAGTCAATCGGATATGAACTTTGGCCACCAGAGCGTCCACAAGATTTTTTGAAGTGATCAAGGGCCATAACTCTGGCAGTAATTATCGGAATAGGCTTCTTCGTCTCATGACCTTAAACACTGTGTATAAATTTAAAGTCAATCGGATATTAACTTTGGCCTCTCCAGCGTCCACAAGATTTTTCAAAGTGATCAAGGGCCATAACTCTGGCAGTAATTATCGGAAATTGCTAAAAATCAATAGGCTTCTTCGTCTCAAGACCTTAAACACTGTGCATAAATTTAAAGTCAATCGGATATTAACTTTAGCCTCTAGAGCGTCCACAAGCAATTGTGGACGCCGGGCGGACCGACGTACGGACCGACGGACGGACGGGGGCGACAACAATATACGACCACATTTAAATGTGGGCGTATAAAAATAGGGGTCACTGGTAAGGGTGGCTAAGTGGGTAAATTGAGGTCGGTTGTTCTATCCCTGCATTGGCCGAGAAAGTTCATCCAGATTTTCGGGCGTGGTTAACCCTTGTCAGTGATGCAGGATGGAGGGCCTGACAAGACAACTGTCTAGTCGTTCGGATGGGACAAAAAACTGAGGTCCCATGTACACATTGGCGTGCACGTAAAAGATCCCATGACAGTTGGAATTCGATATGAGAGTAGGCCGTTGTGCACTGTCCGGGCAAAATTTCCCCTCATAGCACACTGTATGGCGAATGCCTGTCTTCATTAGCCCAGTTCGGAGCAGACCAGTAGGACATTAAACCCCATTTCATTTCATTTCATTTGCTTTACATAATGAAGCAGATTGTATTGTGCATGTTTGAATTACCAGTACATTCAGTATATTTATTTTTAGAACATTTGGAACACACCTCCAAGAATAAATAAGACCATTACCCCCAGCAATTAAGCTTTAAATGCCCTTGAATTTGCATACATGTACATTATCTATATACATGTACTTCTTGCATTAAAAACATTCATTGTAAAGAATCATGTATGCCTCTTGTAAAGTTTGACAAATGCAACATCATAACTTTGATAGCATCATTCAAGAACTTAATACAGTAGCTGGATAATGCAAAACAACTGATTGTACTGTCAATTATGTGTTTCTTCAAAGCTAGTGTATGTAGTTGCCGGTTGCATGTACATGTATTTGAAATAGTATATTTTGATATATCTTAAGACCCTTAAACACTACATGGATTAAATAATGACAAGAAAAATGTTATTAAAAGTGTCTGTTCCAAAGAAACACAAATGATGCGATTTTGGCTTTTAGTCAAATAAAATAAAATAATAGATTTCATTTACATGAAGATGACAAAAAGATTCTTTGGCAGATTTCTTAAACTGAAAGTTATTTCAAACATTTTAAACAGATATCGAAGGACAAGACAAGCAGAGATTATATTGTTTTTAAACAAAGGATACATAAATACAATCTTCCATAAACCTCTTTTTCAGGTTTTCCACGATGGCTGACTCTGATATTTTTTGTAAAAGAACCATGTCATCCACTCCACTCGTCTTGACATTGTGACTTTGCCAATGGTACGGCTAAAATATAAAATATACACATAATTAATATTTAGAAAATATGTCCTTCACTAGATTTGATTTTTTTTAACCCTCTCGTTAATGGGCACAATAGTCACCAGCGGACAGGCTATTCTAGAAATAAAATAAGAAAATTAATGTCCAATACCCACATAAATATACACCATCCAGAAGTCTGAGATCTCAAAACCAGCTACTATATACCGGTATAAACTTCTCCGTGTAAAGACAGCACATTAGGTAAACAGTCCTTTGATTATACTGCTGCTGCCTTACGGAACAACCTACCAGAGAACATTAAATAACCTAAAACCATACAGAATTTCAACACTTTGTCTAAGACACACCTTTCCAGTTCCCACACATGCACAGAGCAGAGTTTAGTTTGAAATGTTATGCCATATAAATGCAAAAATTACTCTTATTATCAATGCCAATTCACTATTTAAAACTAATTTAAGGGAGCTAAACAGCTAATATTTGGGACCTAGAATTTGACACAAATGGGTCGCAACGCATACAATAATCTCATATGAATATATATAAACTGATTTACATTCAATCACTTCTGTTTTTACTGTGATTTCTAATCAGTTATGTTTGCAGAAATACACCAGAATTCTCAATCGAATAGTGTCTGGTTATTCCAGTCTGCACCAAAAGTATTTATTGAGCATGCTCTCCAGATAGAATATGCCGTTACCATCTGACATGACCTGTGAAATATGCCTAGCCTCGTTCTTTGCGTCCGTCGTTACAAATGGCGCTGATACTAATCGTGACCTCTAGAGGCACCACAAGCTAAAAACGCGATTTTTCGTACAATCAGGGGCCATAATTTAGGAAGATATGCGCAAATATCGAAAAGAACCAAGATCTTTGGGTTATAAACATGCATTTCAAGTTTCATCAAAATCAGCTGAAAATTGTCACCTCTAGAGTGTGCACAAGCTAAAAACAATAAGGGACCATAATCCATGACTTTACATTGTTTAGTCTGATTCATGCCAATATTGAAGGAACCAAGATCTTTGGGAGATAAACCTATATTTCAAGTTTCGTCAAAATCTGATAAAAATTGTGGCCTGAAGAGTGTCCGCAAACAAATTGTGAACGGACAGACGGACGGACTGGGGCAATGGCATAATAGGTCCACATGAAAATGGGGCGTATAAAAAACTTAACAAAATATAGATCTGTATTTTAATCACATTTGATATGGTAACCAGCCTGGAGTGTCTGAGCTAACTTATTGATTGCTAATCAAATGCCTCGATAATCTAAGCATTTCAAAAGAATTTCGCAGATTTTTCAGTATCAGGAATTTTGACTGTATTTATATATACATGTACATGTATGATGCATATCTATGGTGTTGTATGGCCCATAAGCTAACTTTAGCCATACATTTATAATGTTTAGATGACTACATGTATCAGCATTCTGGACGAGGGCATCAGTGGGCATATAGTACAACACCTCTGCTTGGAGCTGTGGTTTCAATTCCAATCCATCCCAATATAATTTTCCTACATACCCATTCATCTATACTAATATTTGTGACTGTCGTTTGTCTGTCTGTTTGTCTGTCTGTCTGTCTGTTCGGGGTTGGCGGCTACACTAGGTCTGCCCCGAGTCTGAAATTTGGAGTATAGGGGTAGCTCGGACCGGGGAGTAACATAGGCCAGGTGGCGTTAGTCTACCACTTCCGGGGTTATGACCCCCGAGCGAAACCGGGTATCCTGCTAGTTATATTAATAATTGTCCCCCGCCTTTCGAAGAAAGCAGGGGACTATTAAAATGGGTTCGTCCGTCTGTCTGTCTGTCTGTCTGTCCGTCTGTCTGTCCGTCACACTTTTTGGGACACAATAACTCTCTTCCTAATTGAGCTAGAATGTTCAAACTTGGTGTATGGGTTTATTAGGTCAATGCCTTGATGGAGTTCGAAGATGAGCATTTTCCGCTTAGGGTAAGCAGAGATAAGCAATTTGATTGGTTGATGCTTTGGGACACGATAACTCTCTTCCTAATTGGGCTAGAACGTTCAAACTTGGTGTATGTGTTGATTAGGTCAATGCCTTGATGGAGTTCGAAGATGAGCATTTTCCGCTTAGGGTAAGCAGAGATAAGCAATTTGATTGGTTGATGCTTTGGGACACGATAACTTTTAATTGAGCTAGAATGTTCAAACTTGGTGTATGTGTTTATTAGGTCAATGCCTTGATGGAGTTCGAAGATGAGCATTTTCCGCTTAGGGTAAGCAGAGATAAGCAATTTGATTGGTTGATACTTTGGGGCACGATAACTCTCTTCCTAATTGAGCTAGAATGTTCAAACTTGGTGTATGTGTTGATTAGGTCAATGCCTTGATGGAGTTCGAAGATGAGCATTTTCCGCTTAGGGTAAGCAGAGATAAGCAATTTGATTGGTTGATGCTTTGGGACACGATAACTTTAGTTCTAATTAAGTGAGATTGATGAAACTTGGTGTATAGATTTATTATATGAATACCTTAACTAAGTTCGATAATGAACATTTTTTGCTGAGGGTAAGCAGAGTGATAAGCAATTTGATTGGTAGAAACTTTGGAACACAATAACTCTCCTTCTAATTGAGGTAGAATGTTCAAACTTGGCATAGGTGTCTATTAGGTGAATGTTTAAACTTGATGTATATGTAGATGTTCATTAGGTGAATGTCTTGACTGAGTTCAATAATTAACATTTCGAGCTGAAGCTAAGCAGAGCTAATCGATTTCATTTGTCGATGGTTTGGGACAAGATAATCTTGATTCTATCTGATAGAGAGTGATGAAACTTAGTGAAAAAAATAAATGTGCGATTAATTAATATGTGTCATCTATTTATTTTGCAATTTCGGCGGGGGACATCAGCCTCACTGTTGGCTTGTTTTATTCTATAACTGCATGCAAATGCAAGCAAATATCATTTAAAAGCCATTGAATAGCCCATGGTTGTATTCCAAGATTTCGACAGGGACTACTTTTTTCCGGAATGACGTCACTTTCAGAATGATGTCACAACTGTAATGATGTCACTATTTGGAAACCATCGTTTTTGTAAATGGTTGTATTCAATGGCTTTGACAGGGACTACTTTTTTCCAGAATGACGTCATTTCCAGAATTATGTCAAAACTTGTAATGATGTCACTACTCGGCAACCACCGTTTTGTAAACGATTGTATTTAATGGCTTGGACAGGAACTACTTTTTTCTAGAATGACGTCATTTCCAGAATGATGTCACAACTGTAATGTCACTACTTCGCAACCACCGTTTTTGTAAACAAAAAAATGGAGGAACCTATGATTAATTTTGAATTATTGGAGATGATTTTTTTGATAATCTGGATAGCACAGTGTCTACAGAACTCAATGACCATTGAATTTGTTCTTATTTTGAGATCTGCATTATAGTAATAAGTATATAGTACAGTGATTCTCAACCAGTGCACTGTGAGATCTTCCTAAGTGTGCCGCGAAATTTTGAATGGCACACTAAGAAAATGTGAAAAACCATATGACACTGGTGTCTACTGATAAGTTGTTCATACAGTAGCTGTGTTTTTCTTTATTTAGTGGAGTCATTCTATGTGTGTATGACTAGTCTATATCTACGGTTGTATGCCATCTGATTTACCATGTTTTTATTTTGTAAAATTCAAATATTTTTCGTATATATTTAGCCAGGTGTGCCGCTATTTTTTCATGTGTTCAAAGGTGTGCCGTTGGCAAAAAAAGGTTGAGAACTACTGACATAGAATATAGACACACCATATCATACATGTAACCGGTTCCAGTTATTTACAGCTTATACACATAAATACATGTACATTATATATGTTTAATGGGTGTCAAAAGGTTGGCTATAATTTCTTTTATTAGAAGATTTTAAATTCTTCAGTACTAATTAACAACAGAATATGATCTTTGGATACTTGTAGTTTATGATGAACTAGCCCTAGTTGCTTTAATTATTTCTAACTTCTTTATATTCTGAAATTTGAATCATCCTTACAGTATAAAAAAAGTACTTGAATCCTGGAATAGGTGTGAAAGCAGATATGTAAAGGGGAAGTGGTGGGCTTTAGCCCTAGGTCATTTAGTTGGTGGACCAATACAATGTCTTTAATTTAGTAATCTGACTTTTATTAATTTTTAGTTTCAAAGATGCTTTCCTCGAGATAATCTGAAAGTTAAAAATAAAAAAAAATCATGCTGGTTTTGAGTACACCACGGTTTTACTTTGTGCACCCCCACCCATTTTTATTGACATTTTTACATGTGGTATCTATTATAATATAATTCATAGAAACATCTTTATCAATACATGTAGTATCATCAAATTGTCCTTATTAATTTATTTGTCAATTCGTGTCTGAGATTTCTGAATAAACTTCTGTTTCATTTCCTTCGTCATCAAGCCACCTTCACTGTGCCTCTTATTTCACATACGTGTACTCCATTCGTAAAGCTGTACCTTTAATCTATCTTCACACATCACATACATGTACATGCATGGACTTGGATTCATTCTACCACAAATTCAAAATTTCATTGAATCTACTTGGTTAAAATGAAATGAAATTTTTCATCCTACTGTTCTGCTTCAACTGGGCTAATGAAGATGGGCATACAGTGTGCTATGATAGAAATTTTGTTTGGTCAGCGGCGCTATGGCCTACTCTTATGTCGAATACCAACCACCAAGGGTTCTTTTATGTGCACCCCAATCATGGCCCAATGTGTACCTTGCCAGGCCCTCCAATCTGCACCTCTGACAAGGGGAAACTGCGTCGTAAAATCTAGAGGAACTTTCTCAGCGAACACCAGAATTGATCTGTGGAAGTCGGTGCATTTCATTTCATTTCGAACACTGCCTCCAGGATAGCAAGCCAGCACCTACCTACTACAATTAAGCTTAGTTACACCCCATAAAATAAAATATAACTGTTGTGAAAGGTAAACATGACAGGTGCATCAACTGGCGAGACCCTATATAAAAGATGTCTGAAATTACACATTTAAACACACCCACATAATTAAAAAAAAAAATTCAGATGTGAAAACATATCTTTCATTTGAATAAAATATAACCATTTAAAATACCTGCATCCTTAAAACTGATTAAAAAAATTTATCAACTTTTAATGTGTTAAACATTAAATATAATGTACTGTAGATAATAATTGAGCTCTCTTTAACAATTATATTACATAAATCATACAACCAATACAGACTTGTACAGTAGCTCAAAGGGTTAATAGTAAGTGCAATCAATAACAAATCTAACCAGTAAGTCACACCATCCTGACAACTTGAGTGTGTAATTACAAATTAATTATCAAACCCTGAGGGATAATAGTTAAGTGACAATGTGAAATAAAAATATCATTTTTATTAGATGCAATAAATGCCCAAGTGCTCAATTTCTTTTCCAATCCTGGTCACATATTCGAACCAAACATTTCAAAACACAATAACGACAGAACAATAACTTAGTAAACAAATTAAAGGTGTAAGCATTTGGGATCATCATCACTTGATAAAAATCATTTTCAATATGATGTGATTTAACTAAGCCTATAAAATTATAGATAGATGCTGAAAAACTTTGATTGTATGCCAGTGTTTTCTCATCACCTTATACGTGTAATAAACAGTACTTGTGTTAATATGGTTGTCACAGGTAAATTATAGTGAGCTCCTGGCTGTTACATGCTATAATTAGTGTTATGAACTAAAGATCCATATATTTTATGCATTACGTCTATAAAGAATACATACAAATATCCCAATCAGTTCTTTTAAAGGCTCAATACCACTCTTGTTGTAACTGAATAATATGTCCCAATCTTTATTCTGGTCAACAAATTGTACTATTTTACAATATTCCAATTAATTGATGATACAAATTTCATCTTAACACACCTAATTTAAAAAATTGGAAAAATTCAACTAAATGATTTGAAAAGCCTGACGTAAAGCTTTTCAAATGTGACTTGGATTTAGAAATATTTTTGAACCCTCTGGACAAGTAAAATAGGATTTAATGGATAATTTAAACAACAGGTAGGACACTAACACATCTAGTACTTAGAATAAGGCTATTTTTTTATTTTCTGGAGCTGTCAAGCCAGCAAGGGCCATTTGCATTTTCGCTAAAATATAAAATTTCTCACTAAATAGTACCCAGATTGATTATTTAAAAATCAAAATTTACCGGCTTGGATTCAATTGCATTTAAACTAGGCCTATCAGGTTTCTCCGTTACCGATAAAAGATGGCGGCTTCCTGTTACACTCGAGCAGCCTAGATCGATGAAATTTTAATTCCACATATCTTTGTAAATACTAAACACAACTGAACTATTTTATATAGTATTTTTGGACTGACACTCCTATAGTTTGCAAGTGATTCATAATGCTTAAAACGGTGCATTGAGACTTTAATGTAGATTTAAATAGTAAATGAAATGAAACAGGGTTTAACGTCCTACTGTTCTGCTCCGAACTGGGTTAATGAAGACGGGCATACACCATACAGTGTGCTAAGAGGGAAATTTCACTCTGACAGCGGCACTACGGCCTACTCTTATATTGAATTCCAACTGTCAATGTGTACACAGCTCTGTCCTTGTCAGACTCTCCATCCTGCATCACTGACAAGGGGGAACCACACCGGAAAATCTGGATGAACTTTCCCATCCAATCCAGGGATCGAACACCTGACCTCCAGGCTAGCTAGCCAGTGTCTTACCCACATTGCCAGATTTGAATAGTAGCCTACATGAATTCATATTAATTTGATGAAAGACTTTTAGGAGAGAAACAATTACAATAGTAGACTACATGCAAATAACACAGGTAATCCCCCACCCCCACCAACAATATCAAATAATCATTAAGAAAATTATAATTTAAAAAAAAGAGAACTTCACCAGGTCTAATGCTGTTTTATATGCATAATTTGGTGTTTGTTTACAATGTATTACAATTGCTGGGCATTATGAATGTACTTCAATAAACTGTATTGGATTTTCAATATTAAAGTAATTTAGCGTGGGGTATATATATCCATGGATCTTCCATGGTTTATCGACCAATATCCCACCCCAGTGTGCCACTTACTGCATCTGAATGTTACTATAAATAGAATTCCACATGTACACTCAACTGTTTCAAATACATGTAGTTTGAACAACTTGTTGAATGCAGAAAGCTACAATACAAATTTTGACAAGAATTCGCGAAATTATTAAAAAAGGATGACACGTGTTAGAGCCTTCAGAACGAACGCTTTAACAAAATGTCAACGTCGGATTAGTTAAGTCGACTGAGTCACCCAACTTTATTGCTAACACATTGAGCAAAATTTAGGCTCACTCACCATTTTCACCAAGTTCAGCCGCTGTCTTTCACAAAAAAATCAAAATCTATTCCTTCTACGAACACGCTTGGAAGATACTCCTTATAGTTTCATTTTCCTCTTGAATATTACACAAATCTAAATAATCGCGGAATTGTTTTCATTTTGTATCACAACACTGACAAGATAAATCCTATGACGGAAGTTGAACAAAGTTTCCGGATAGTCTGAGTTGTCTATACCTGATGTGACGTCACCCACTATTATTTCCATATACAGTAGTGGGCGTGATCAGGTGCGCCTGGCAAAATTATAACATTTAATTTAAACTTTAAAAAATAAAAATGTGTAGTGTAAACTTTAAAAACTACAAAATGTTCAAATCAACTGCATTATCTTTTGAAAAATTCAGAGTCATTTTTAGTTTAACCATAGACCCCTCCCCACCACCACCATATATTTATAAGGTCCAAGCCCATGGTTTAAATACATCAGTTAAATATCTTTAATTTATTTTTTTCCTCATGGAATAGATGATTAATATTAAAATAAAAAATTAGAAACTCTTAAATAAACACAGGATTTTGTGTATTTTTTCACTGGTTTATTTACTGCATGGACATTAAAAGAAAAAATAACATTCAGGAATTTGAGTGGGTAGAAATTAGAAGATATTAACATTTTACGCATTTATTACCACACCCTTCCATTTGCATGTTACTTTTATATTTAAAGAGATTGAAATAATATATTTTAATATTCGTTTCAGGGTTTTTTTCCCAACTTGGGAGGATTGTTCAGCTGGGTCCCCAACATTGAGGAGATGGTACTGGTCAACTATTGAAACACCCTCCCCATAAAAGAAACATCAATGTCCATACATGTCTGTCTCAAATTAACACTGCAGCTGAATTTTTTTGTTTATAAACAATGTTTTTATTGGGGAACAAGCTTAGCCTATGTAAAACCCCTTTCCTATCAGTATTTCTGAATTCTGAGTTATTTTTACTATTTGCTATGTTGTGATGACGGGCCTTACCAAGTGACTGTGTCTAGTATCAAAACTTTGGCTCTGCCGACAACAAATAATTACCGATGGAAAGAGAGCGAGAGAAATGTTGTTTAATGTCCACCCAACACAAACTAGGTCATTTCGGGGTCGTTTTTATTTCAATAATTCACTTGAGCGTAGGGGGCTTTAGCAGTGGGAGGAAACCGGAGGACCAGGAAAAAACCCACAAAGTTGAGCAGGCGACCCTACTCCTTGTCACGTACAACCACGGAATCAAAACCACGAAAGCTGACTCAACGACAGACCTTATTATACAGCCCATACGTACTATCCATTCGACCATCCAACCCCCCAATTACTGATGGAGTTGTGTTAGTGATCAGTGGGTTTTTTTTGTTTTGGTTCTTTAAACACAAAAAATAATTATTAATACACATGGGGGTTTTAGCATTTGATTCCCACCCCAGCCCCTGTAACAATTTAACATTTGAATTAAAAAAAACAAAGAAAACACAAGTAAAACAAACCACAAATAAAAATATTGTAAACTTTAATAGCATAACGTAACAACCTAATTGAATATACAGTGTTTTTTTTAATGACAGTCAATAAAAACAATGATATAAATGTTAGAAACACTGAATATATTTTGTTAAATATAATATAAGAATAACCAAAATGTTAATACATTTTTAAAACATCCATTTAATTTTCATGTATGTCATCATATAATTCCCTGAAATGTATATTTCAATGAGTCTGCAAATTATTGTTTGTATGTCTAATCATATTATATGTTGTGATATATCAAACCCAAATAAGCCTCCTCGTAAAAAAAATTTGAATATATTCAAATGTCTAAAGCTCCTGACAAACCATACTTATTTTCTGTAACATTCAATAAATAGCTCCCACATGCCTAACAGTAACATGTTGCAGTATCATACAAATCTTGACCACCTGGGTTCCTGTATCTTATTACATCACATTGTTTATTTTGCCTTCTTTTATAAGTTAATATTATTTTTAACTATTCTAATCCAAATAGTAAAACTTAAAATATAACTTGGGAATGCAAAAGTGTGCTGAAAAAATTGATCAACAAACAGCTGGTACAAAAGGAAATAATGGGGATGCACAATTCCAGTACAGAATGTCCCGAATTGACAGAATTGTAGTCAAGTGACGTGCAATTCAGCCCTGTTACAGTTTTGTCAGTCCCTACAATGCAGGTAGTGTGAGTAGTTCAACACAACAAATATGTTTCAGATGTCATGGTTGGCTGAGATATTTTATTATGCAGTTGGTGCATGCGTTGTAGCCTGAAATCACCCCTTCACATGATTGTCACTATTCGTGGGACTGAGAGAATTCAATTCCTGAATATTCAATCAAGTTTCCCAAATAAACAAGCCAACAGTGAGGCTGATGTCCCCCGCCGAAATCCCCAAATAAATAGATGACACATATTAATTAATAGCACATCTATTTTTTTCCAAAGTATCAAGCAATCAAACTGATTATCAACTATACACTAAGTTTCATCACTCTCTATCAGATAGAATCAAAGTTATTTTGTCCCAAAGCAGGAAATTGCTTATCTCTGCTTAGCTTTAGCTCGATATGTTAATCATTGAACTCAGTCAAGACGAACATCTACATCAAGTTTAAACATTCTACCTCAATTAGAAGAAGAGTTGTTATGTTCCAAAGTCTTGACCAATCAAAATGCTTATTGCTCGTTAGCCTAAGCAGAAAATTCTCATCATCGAACTTAGTCAAGGTATTGATGTAATAAAACTATACACCAAGTTTCATCACTCTCACTTAATTAGAACTAAAGTTATCGTGTTCCAAAGCATCAACCAATCAAATTGCTTATCTCTGCTTACCCTAAGCAGAAAATGCTGATCTTCGCACTCCATCAAGGCATTGACCTCATAAACCCCTACACCAAATTTCAAGCTTAGGCTACACAAAATAAATGTCTTGTTTCTCGGGCAACTGACAGCTGAAACTATAGGGGGGGAGGGCGGTTTATTTTTTTTTTTTTACCTCATTTCTGGCTAGAGGATGGTGCAAAATAAAATTTGGCTATTGTTGAAAATTGTTGGGGCGGGAGGGCGGCCTTGTATTTTTTTTTTTTTTTTTTAATGAGAAAGTCATTACTCGTCTACGGTTTTGCTTTCAGTTATATATTATACATACTTAGAACATAAACCCAAAAATCAAGTCTACTCAAACACTGAACACTGACTGAAAGGAAAATAATTTTCCATATTTAATTCACGTAATGTAGTTTACTAATGGTAATGGTGACAACCATAATTAAAATTGGTTTAAAATAAAATTCCGTACGACTATTAATAGACGTCCATAATAACGACAATATTTTAAAGAGTAAGCCTCTGTCAGCATGTGTATCAAAAATAATCATCACGGTAAACGACACTTAGATCTAAATCTAGTATCGCTGGTTTATAATGATTGACCTAATTCCAACCAATGCATGTCACGTGTCATCGGGATTCGGGAAATGACTGTTTCTCAGGATATTCGGTGTGTTTCTCAGGATATTCGGTGTTCTATCTGGGGTTTATATCGAATGACTATTTAAATTTAACTAACAACTGGTCAGTAAAACCATCAAATGTGTAATCAAATTATTATTTTCCGGATTATCAAAACTACCGTTAAATGTGCTAATGACCCAGATTCTGACTAAGGTATGGTGACTATCATCGTATCGTATTCTTAGCCACAAGTTATAATAATTAACCTGTTCTACGATTCATTGTTTTATAAGTAGGATTTTTTCAAACATGGGCCGACTGAAGCCGGCAATAATGAGCCGATTAAGATCGAATGATTGAAATACATTGCATTGTTGTCAATGACTTTCGGTGTTTAACACGAATCAAATTCTAGTTCACAAGGGGAGGTAATTAAAATCACGTGATACAAAAATGGAGGTTCTTTCGATATCAATAAAAAAGACCTGTAAATGAGCGTTTGCATCTAAATCAGTTTAATACATTTGAATGGATATTCACGTATGGGGCATGTAGATACATGCGGCATATTCTTTTTATGACTTGCTTATCGATGTTCGGGCGGGCGTTACATATTTTTTATTTTTCATCAAGACTAATAAATAGGCCGCACGCGCAACCAATTTTGCGTGCGGGCGGTGCCCGAGAAACAACTTATTTTATTTGTGTTGCCTTAATTAGGAGAGTTATTGTGTTCCAAAAAGTGTGACGGACAGACAGACAGACAGAAGGACGGACAGACAGACAGACAGACAGACGGACGAACCCATTTTAATAGTCCCCTGCTTTCTTCGAAAGGCGGGAGACAATAATCTCCTCAATTGGTAACAGGAGTTGTCTCCCCATTAGTCTTCACGAAAAACAAAATTTATATTATAATAGTTTTCACTTTGGGTTACCATAACTATTTTAAAGAAACAGAAATGAATTATGACCCCTCAAAATGCAGGTATGATTCCATGCAGCATGGAAAGCTATATACTAGTACTTTCAGGCTTTTAGCAAAATTACAGATCTTTAATGTGTTCCCATTATTATGAATGTCACTATTTGTTTGTTAATATTATGCTTGTTGCTTTCCTTGTTACATAATCAAAAACAACTTTCATGAATGATGACAAATAATTTGATTTTACAGTACAGTGCTGCACAATATCCAATATACTGATGTATTTGAAGGACTTCTGATACAGAGGTTGTGATTCAACCTGTGTAGATTCAAGTTTTGGTAATCCCTAAAGCATTGTCTCTTGGTGACCTAGACTGCTAAAATCCCTGTCGATGTTTGGATCTATGCGAAAGTGTGAAACTGTGAGCTAATGTCTAGTTAAAAGATAGGTTGCCAGGCAACGAAACATACGCCCACATCAGCTAAATCGTCCGAGCGGTCGACCAGGATTGTCATATATTTATTCCTTTGTAGGTAATTGGGGGCCTTTACAAGACAGTTCCATACAGATCAGATTATACATTTTGTCGTTTGAGGGTTCACAAGGTTCTACAAACTGAAACAAGGGTCTCAACTCTGGAAGTAATCTACAGAAATTGTTGAAATTTGACAGGCTTTTTCATTTTACTAATTTAAATAATGCATATAAATTTCATACAGATCAGATGATCACTTTTTTCATTCAAATGTTCACAAGGTTCACAATAGCCATAATTCTAGAAATTATTGACGGAAATTGCTGAAATTCAATAGACCTCTGTTTCACAAATTTAAATGATGCATATAAATTTCATACATATCGGATGATAATTTTCATCAATCCAGCATTAACAAGGTTGAACAAAGTGAAACAAGGGCCATAACTCTAGAAGTAATTATTGTAAATTGCTGAAATTCAATAGGCTTCGTGGTTTCACTAATTTAAATAATGCATATAAATTACACAAGGATCGGATGATAACTTTCGGCGTTAGAGCGTTCAAAAGGTTCAATAAAGTGAAACAAGGGCTATAACTCTAGACGTAATAAACAGAAATTGCTGAAATTCAATAGGCTTCTTCATTTTACTAATTTAAATAATGCATATACATTTCAGAAAGATCGGATGATAACTTTTGGCGTTAGAGCGTTCACAAGGTTCAATAATGTGAAACAAGGGCCATAACTGTAGACGTAATAAACGGAAATTGCTTCTTTGTTTCATTAATCTAAATAAATTTCAGTAAGATCGGATGATAACATTTGGAGTAATAGTGTTCACAAGGTTTAAATAGGATTCTTCATCTCACTAATGTAAACCACATATATCAATTTTAAAACAATCGGATAATAACTTTTGGCGTTAGAGCGTTCACAAGAAATTGTGGACGATAGACAGATGGACGGACAGGGGCGACAGCAATATACGTCCATATTTCCACGTGGGCGTATAAAAACAAGTCAAGTCAACTTTTTCCATCAAATAATACAAGGATTTTTGACTTGCATTTACTAAGTGTAGCTAACGTGTAAGCAATGCACTGAGGGCAGGGCCAAGTAGACTACCACACTGGTATCCTTATATCCTGACTGGGTCTGAGTGACAATCTACGTGTATACAAAGAGGTGAGTTGGTTCTATGATGTAGTACCGTTACTTGAAATAGAGCTGCCTTTTAAAATATCATCTGAAATAGAGAGAAGGTAAATCTATTTAATCCTGCACCCGTAGAAGGGACATGTATACACAATCTCCGTATTTTTGGAAATCAACAGCAGAATGCTAGTAATGTACATGTTAAAAGATGTACAGCAAATAACATCAGGCTACAATTTTTGTCTAATTCAGATGAAACTTAAAACTTGCATAACTCCTTGAGTTAAGGCCCCTGCCTTTTTACGCAAAATCTTAATTAAGTACGAAGTTTATGATTCGACAAGAAGCCAAAATTCTTGTCCAATACAAATAAAACTTGTGTGAAAAATTGACATCATGAGAGGACGAACTCTGGGACTTTCTATTCTGGAGTAACTCCCCTTTGCCGAATGCTGCGGAATGCAACAGGGGCTTTAGTTTTTACCAGATTTTTCAAATTTGGTTTGAAGCACTGGGTTAACAAGAGCACAAACCCATTTAATAATCAGTGTTCCTGTATCTTTCGTTCCAGAGATTTGCCCCCCTTACCCGAAAAAGATTGAAAGTGTGATAGAGATTCCATTTTTAAACTGATTTGTCCAATTTTGATGCAAAAGTATTGGGATAATAAAAGGATGAGCCCTATCAATTTTCCCTCTTCTCCATTCATCTCTTGCAAAAAGAAGGCAACCACTGGTTTGGTTGTGACAACTTGTCAGATAATTCCAGTCCTTTAACACTACTGAAAAAGATGACTTGTTTTTGCTTACTTCTATCTAAAATATAGGTATCTGTAAAATGTTCTGTACATTGCATAATTTCTGGATTAAATGAGCCTGAACCGCCAAATAAAACAACCCTGTCTCCTGCTAAAACCACTGAATGCTGCCCTCTACCACATGGTAAATCACCATCTATGTTTGGTTGTAGCCATTCAGTAGAATCTGTTTAACACAAAATATATTCAATCAAGGTATACTTATCCATTTGTTTTTATTAGAATAACTTACAAATGAGATAACCGATATTGAGTCATATTTTTGATGACAAATACAGACGTACTATGGATCAGGAACCAGTATCATATCAATATATGTAATTTGATGCACAATTGTCCAAGGAACAAGCATGTCAAATTTCATGTCGATAAAACTAAAAAGAACAAGATGACTGGAGCTTGGGGCCCAGTTCTTGCTCCAAAAATCCACCAAAGCTAAGATATTGTCATTTCACATAATCTCTGTGCAACTCAAAGTAGTGCTGGGTAGTCCTGCCTATCTCGAAGAAATAAGACAGTTGATGTGGACCAAAATAAGGACCAAAACAATTTAAGAGTGTTTGTGTACCTATGGATAATGTGTGACGTGGATAATTAAGAATGACATCTTACTTACTGAAGTGACAAAAAAACATAAAAAGGAATCGTGAAAAATCGGTTGAGCATCTCCCGATTCAAAGTGCAAATCGTGATACATCGATTTGAGGATATATCGTGCCAGCACTAACTTAAAGTATTTATAGATCTTACTTTAAATCAGGTTCCAAAATATTTATGTTTAAGTTATAGCCCTTAAAGTTTAACAACACATTACATAATCAATATACTAGTGAGCAATATTGATCTTCTATACATGTACCATATTTAATAGCACAAATTATTATTTCATTTAATTTTGATTACATTTGTATACACAATCAGTTAACAATAAAACTAGGATAATGGCTACAAACACTTCGTACCTGTGTCAAATATATGTACATCAGCAAAATGTTGATTCTCTATTCCACGACCTCCCATAACCACTACTCTATTACCTACACTAGTTGTTGTATGAAATGATCTAGGTTCAGGTTCACGACCATTGACTTTCAATTCTGTGTTCCATTTTCTGGAATCTATTAAAAATATTCATGGTGATAAGACAATAAATTACAGGAGTTCAGTAGAATCACTTGAATTTAAATATGATCAAGGAGGATGCGATAAAGATTAGGGTAAAATAGTGTCAATCTATGGGATATAGGATACAACGGTCGACTGACATAAAACCTACAGATGGGTTGACTGGAACAAGGATACAGTATATCATTCAAAGACAGCTGAATCTGATAAATAGTGTGAATTCAGATCATTTTGGTTTAAAATGGGACCCATCAGACTCATGAAATTGCTGTAGTTGAACAGGTGCTACTGATCGTGCACTATAAATTATGGCACACATACTAACTGAGCTCAAACTTGAAAGAAATAAACATAATAATTTCGTAAATATACTAGCTAGCTTACTGATTTCCTAAATTATTTTCTTTAAACACAGAAATAAAATAGGGCAGATGTCGAACACCATCACAATATTTTACATACCTATATTAAACATGCGTAAATCATTTCTCCTACTCTCCATATCTCGTCCACCAAATATTACAATATTTCTACCAACTGTACACATACCATGTGCTGCACGAGCTGTCGGAACACCCAAATTCATCTGCATAGGTTCACTCCATTTCTTTGATTCTAAATAAACACAAATATACTGTTGTCTATAAATAAACTGAATTTCAAGGGAATTAACAGTAGGTATCCAGTAGACTGCTTACGGTCTATAATGTAAATTATCAATACGTTGTTTTGTTTCGAACTTCTCAGTGTATCATACCATGGTAAGGACAGTACCTTTTTCCTATTGGTTGGATTTATCGGTGAGATTTTGTCAAAATTATGGTTTTTTTTAATTTGGTATTAATCAATTACAAGAGACAAGTGTCAGTTATTATTGCAAAACGTTGAATAGGCAGGTCAGGTTCCATTCATGTTTGTTATTCACACTATGGTAAATTACCTGTATTAAAAACAAACAAGTCATCAAACCATCCAAATTCAGCTCCATCTTCTTCTTCATTATCTTCTTCCTGTAATATTTAAACATAAATATACCACAAAATTAGACCAATGATCAGAGCAGACGCTCAAAGCAAAAATAGACTTTTTACATGTATATCTACATGTACATCATTCCCAAATCCAAACACTTTATTCAGATGCAGCCATTACAATACATTACCATTGCCAAAGGATGATTAACACAGATGGGCTGATCCTATGAATACAGTACTACAGTTGGTGTACATCTATGTTTCTACATTTTTCTGCAGTTATTTTAATACCTTGCCCACCAATTAGCTACATGTACTTGTGTGTTGTTAAATATGAAATAATGAAAGTTACCAGTATATCTTCATCTGCACTCTTCGGACCAAACCCACCAAAATAATAAATAGATTTATCTACAACTGTTGCTTGTAATTTATCTCTAGCACATGGTCTTTCTCCATCCCCTGTTACTACAGACCAGCTGTTTGAAACTACAATAACAATATAATACAGATTTTAATAACAACATAACATAACAATAACAAACCCACAGTGATGCTGCCTCAATCCCAAAATAAATAGATGCTTGCACATTTATTTCCATGTAAAATTGGTTATCAACAATATTCTAATTTGGTAGGAGATATTGCCATAGAATAGTATAGATTTAAGTGATTAAATTGGTTATCAACAATATTCTAATTTGGTAGATGTTGCCATAGAATAGTATAGATATTTGTATTGGGCGTTTAGCATTTTTTGTTAAGTTAGATAGCGTGGCCTTGATGAAGTGGACTAATTGTGGTGGATACATGTACATGCATGTGTTTGCGTTAAATGAAGATGTCTGTAAGGTGAGAATTCAGAGTCACATGTTTCTGCTAGCTCCTTTAGTCACAGTGGTGAATCATGATTATGGCTTCTTTTGTGCCGGTTTGTGTGATTCGACTAGTGAATGTGGGTGGGTTTTCTGTCTGTTCGGTTGGTAATGTTAAACCTTTCTTTATATACCAGAACATCAAAAAATGGGAGGCTGTTGTTACTTTCAATCTCCATCAGTCTTGGATGTTGGTTGTTCAGATTATATTTCGTTGTTTGCACTTCTCTCATTATACATTTTTTCTCAGTTTATTTATATTATTTGTATTTATATGCTTGATAACAACTTGTAATAAACTAAATTATCATCCATGAATAGTGCTTTATTTGATTATGCTCATACTTGTAAATTGTTAGGACCATTTAAAAAGTTCACTGCCAGTTATAATCAGTTGAGGGGTAAAGAGAAACATATACAAGCTTTTTTAGTTATACATATCTACTCTTCAAAAAAAGTAGGGGATATTGAAATGCAAATATCTATGCCGGTTGTGATATGATAAATAGTCATGGACACTTGACATGCTTTGAGAGTATGTTCACAGATGAAGAACTTATCGCCCCAACAAAACCACTTAGCTGCAATTGCTACACGCTATAGCGCCATACATGTTGGAGGGGTTCATTGTCTGTGATCAGCAGACTGTGGAACCGGTACCAAGATCGACCTCGTTCAGGTCGTCCTAGAGCCACTACACAAGCCCAGGATCGATACATTCGTACACAGGTCCTGTGAAATCGAGGACAAACGGCCAATCAGCTTTCTGTAAATTTGTACCAAGTTACAGGAATTCGAGTTACACCCCAAACGATTAGAAATCGGCTACCGCGTGTTGTGCCTCCATTAACTCGCCAGAACATGGCAAACAGGCATCAATGGTGTAGGCAGCGTAAAAATTGGGGTAATCGTCGATGGGCGGGTGTAATGTTCTCAGATGAGTCCAGATTTACTCTGGACTTCACAGATAGTCGTGCTCGCGTTTGGAGGCGTGTAAATGAGCGTCATGCTAATGTTAACGTCAGACAGCATGACAGATTCGGGCGTGGGTCTGTTATGATGTGGGGAGGAATCACCATGACTGGCAGAACGGACTTGCATATTGAAGGGTCACTGGTGTGTACTACCGTGACCACATCCTGGCACAGATAGTTCTGCCCTTTGCTCAACGTGCAGGTTGACGTTTCATCTTTCATGATGATAATGCCCGTGCCCACCACGCTCGTGTCGTGAATGACTACCTCCAGCGTCACCATATTGTCCATATGCCTTGGCCAGCCATGAGTCCTGACCTTTCCCCTATGGAGCATGTCTGGGACATGATCCGGAGACGGGTTCGTCAACGTCAATGAACAACACTGCAAGAATTGGCCGTGGCACTGCAATAGAAGTGGGTCAGATTGCCCCAAATCGTGATTGGAAGGTTGATTAGGAGCATGCCACGACGAATTGCTGAATGTCTGAGGATTGGTGGAGCAATTACTCATTATTAAGACAAAAATCAAAAAAGTTCATTTTCACTTTTGACAGGGTATCTCCTTGCGAGTGAAATGGGGCCCGTCAGATAAGCCACCCATATAAACTGTTTATGTTCATGTGTAGGCAATAGGCCTGTTATAAACATACACTAGTAATGGTTACCGTCCTCTAATAACCAGCGGCTGCCAGGCAGGATACGCCCACATTTTCGAGAGATGGATAGAGAACAAGCTAAAAAAGTGATTTTTCGTACAATCAGGGGCCATAATTTAGGAAGTTACGGTCCGATATGCACGAATATCGAAAGGAATCGAGATCTCTGGGTTAAAAACTTACATTTCAAGTTTCAACAAAATCGGATAAAAATTGTGACCTCTATAGGGTCCACAACCTTGATATACCATATTTTTACGCTATTTGAGAACGATGGACAGCCATTTTGTCTGTCAGTTTTGGGCCGATTTTCACGAAATTCGAACTCAGTCGTCCTTAGGGTTTAACGGTAATATAATAATACGTTTTTTTAAATCGGATAAAAATTATAACCTCTATGGGCTCCACAAGCTAAAATCGTGATTTTTCGTACAATCAGGGGCCATAATTCCGGAAGTTACGGTCCGATACATGTATGCGCGAATATCGAAAGGAACCGAGATCTTTGGGTTTTAAACTTACATTTCAAGTTTCAACAAAATCGGATAAAAATTGTGACCTCTATAGGGTCCACAAGCTTGATATACCATATTTGAGAACGAACGGCGGCCATTTTGTCTGTCAATTTTGGGCCGATTTTTATGAAATTTGAACTCATTCATTCTTAGGGTGTAACGGTGATATAATAATACGGTTTTTAAAATCGGATAAAAATTATTACCTCTATAGGGTCCACAAGCTAAAAACACGATTTTTCGTACAATCAAGGGCCATAATTCAGGAAGTTACGGTCCAATATTCGCGAATATCGAAAGGAACTGAGATCTTTGGGTTATAACCTTACATTTCAAGTTTCAACAAAATCTTGACATACCATATTTTTACGCTATTTGAGAACGAACGGCGGCCATTTTGTCTGTCAATTTTGGGCCGATTTTCACAAAATTTGAACTCGGCCATCCTTAGGGTGTAACGGTGATATAACAAAACGTTTTTTTAAATCGGATAAAAATTATGACCTCTATAGGGTCCACAAGCTAAAAACGTGATTTTTTGTACAATCAGGGGCCATAATTCAGGAAGTTACAGTCCGATATACGCGAATATCGAAAGGAACCGAGACCTTTGGGTTATCAACTTACATTTCAAGTTTCAACAAAATCGGATAAAAATTGTGACCTCTATAGTGTCCACAAGCTAAAAACGTGATTTTTCGTACAAACAGGGGCCATAATCCATGAAGTTTCGATCCGATACATGCCAATATCGAAAGCAGCCGAGATATTTTGGAGATAAACCTATATTTCAAGTTTCGTCAAAATCGGATAAGAATTGTGACCTGTAGAGTGTCCACAAACAATTGTGAACGGACGGACATCCAGACGTCCGGACGGACAGGGGCGACGGCATAATACGTCCACATGAAAATGTGGGCGTATAAAAACAGCAGTGCATTTTCACAGTTTTGTATTGTTTATGAATATCCCCTACTTTATTTGAAGAGTATATTATTAATATTATTTAGCTCATTATGATAGAAAAAAAAACATCTAGACAATAAATATTATCACCTGTATCAAAAACAAAGAGGTCATCAAACCAACCAAAATTCTGACTTAATCCACCAAATAAATATAATTTATCTCCTACACCGACTAAACTTGCGGCTGAGCGACCAGGTGGTTGTGTTCCTCTTGTTCGGACCTTTTCCCATACTAATGTTTCTGTAAGATAATAAAAGAACATTAAAGATTACTTTCAATAAGTTACAAATTATTAGGTTATCTGTAGATTCATATCAGATTAATTTTACATTTTACGATTACAGTGTTGAATTAAAATGCTTCGGGGATCATCTCATCTAAAGTCCACACCACTGAATCACAGTCACATCTCTTCAGCACATAATAATAATATGATCATATTAAAATTGGATATTCTAATTTTTGATTAATTTAATAATTAGAGTCTAAATCTGTATTAAAATTATTATAAGTTCAGCACGCTAAACGAAACTGGAGGCTTGAGAAGGGCATTCTTATATTTATTATTAGACATGAATGGAGTTTGTGGAAATAAATTCCAGGCATCCATGACCACTCGGATCAAGACCAGTCAGACCAACTGATAGACCACTCGGATCAAGACCAGTCAGACCAACTGATAGACCACTCGGATCAAACAAAAAGACTACTCGGGCCATACAAAAAGACCACTCGGACCAAACAAAAAGACCACTCGGACCAATAATAAAGTGTTGTTTTAATAAATTAATAGTTGTGATTGTTTTAATGACTACTCGGACCAATAATAAAGAGAGAGAGAGAAATGGGGTTTAACGTCCACTCGACACAAACTAGGTCATTTCGGGACTAACATATGGTTTAATTTTATTTACATAATTCACTTGCGCGTAGGGGTCTTTAGCAGTGGGAGGAAACCGGATGACCCGGAGAAAACCCACGAGGTTGGACAGGCGACCCTACTCCTTGTCACGTACAACCGGAATTTCGAAACCACTCAGTCGACTCAATGACAGACTTTATGATACAGCGCGCGCACGCTAACCCAGTCATCCAACCCCCTCCCCCCCCAATAATAAAGTGTTGTTTTAATAAATTGATGATTAATATGAGTAGGCCTACTCGAACCAATAATAAAGTGTTGTTTTAATAAATTGATAATTGTGTCCCAGATGGCAAAAAATCGGGAACCACAAAAGTTACGTTTAAATAAAAAAGGGACAGGTCCCAGAAAAAGTAAAATTAGGCTATCAGATAAGAACAGTATACCCGTATATTCCCCAATGTAAAAATATGTAGAAACTGTCAAAAGTCTGTACATACCGAGTCTCATTGCAAGAGTAAATGAGACAAATTAGATTGATATTATTTCGGCACTATAATTAATTTTAAAACTAATCGTTGATTTAATTTCCGAATGGAAATGGAACTAAACAACTCCAAATATAAGAATTCTGTATAAGAATCAATTCCGTATAAGAATCAATTTAGAATACCAAAATGCGAATCGTAAAATGTGGTCTAAGCTACGAAGGCCCATTAGTCAATTAGTGCCAAACAAAAATTAAATATTAATCCGTTTGAATGAGTCAGTAATTCGTTTGAACAAATTAGGATCTCGTTTGAATGAATTAGTATCTCGTTTGAACGATTTAATTTAAATTATCTCGTTTGAATGTGCAATTTTTCGGCACAATTACTACGCTTGTTTTGCATACTGCTACTGCATTCCACGTTTTTTTCGTGTCATCCACAGTTTTCCGTGTCATCCGAAGACTACAGATTTTTTTAACAAGACTCGCGCCATTGAAGTAGACGTCGCAAATTAGTTGTTTCTTCCAGTGGTTTGGTTCGAGTGATCTTATTCTTTTCAATTTTGGTTTGGTCTGAGTAGTCTTTTGTGTTGGTCCGAGTGGCCTCTTTTTTTAGTCCGAGTGGGCTGGATACCAATTCCAGTAGACCTACCTGAATCAAATAAAAATAATTCATTTGATTCTATCACTTCATCTCCACCAGGTAAAACACCGCCAAAAACATAAACTTTGGATCCTAAGGAACATGCCGTCTGCCCTTCCCTTCCGACTGACGGAAATGGACTTCCCACTTTTTTCCAAGTAAGTTTAACATCGTTGTTGATTTTGTCGCTGTAAGTGACGTTTTGACTGGTTTCATTACCCATACTATTAATTTATAAAGAAAGTTTAATTATGGTCGCAATCTAGAATTTCCTGATAAATTGCAACTAAAACGAAATTATAGCAAAATACAATCGCCAAAATACATAAACAATCACCTTTCTCCCTAAGTTGTACAAAAGGGGTTTCCCGCCAGGTAGTCAGGATCATGCGGCTTTCTGTTTTTTAATTCTATAGAAATATTTCTGTAGGACAATCGAGTCTAAACAAAGCGGATATGATGTAATATTTACCATTACGATTTCTAAAAATAAAATGATGAATAAAAAAAAGTTTAATGTCGATAGAAATTTAGCTTTTATACAATTTTGTTTATTGTTTTAGACAAATTTCTCAAGTACACCGTACAACAAAGATTTTATTTTTGTTTACGTAAGTCTCGTTGACGTACAAAATATTGGAATCCCGGAAGCAGGTGTTTGCGGTTTTGACGTAGTCTCAATTTGCCCAGACGTTTTTCAACCATGGAAATAACCATAGGCTTAGAAAGACTGGACAGGCGAAGGAAAAATGGTTCCGATGTAGAGGATGGAGAAATGAGAAGTCACAACAATCGTTTGTGATTTTGAGCGGTTGTAGGTAAATAACCGTTACATTTCACCGCTGTACTTCATTGTCAATGGTTTAATATTAATTCTATAACAGAAATGGTGCAATGCATTGCCCACCAAGAGCTGTCAAATAAAATATCCCTCATGTATCGTAATCCGATTTTATGATAATTATTTTGATGCCAAGCAAAATTCCTACGTCGCAGTGACGTCGCGTTATTTAATTTTACCTTTTTCATTGCTTCGACATCTATATGTACGGGGTAGTTAATGCATTAAGACTAAACAAAAGTTATGACAACTGATATGAACATTTAAGTTTGGGCGTGAAAGATATATTTTCTTGTTTGTGATCCCAAATAAATACATATTTCAGACTCAGAATAGTCAGAAATATCATACTCATAGGTTCACAGTAGGATGCACTGCGAATGTGATATGAAAATATATCCCTTACATACCAGTAATGCCACTATATACACAAATGAAAAGATTTACCATAATAAGTTTCCCCTAATACCTATTTATCATTAATAAGTAACCTATGTATTTGTTTAAAAGTGGATTTACAATATGCGGAATCGCTAAAAGTACCATGCCTGCTCAACCGAATACCTGACAACACATCCCAAAGACAACTCATCCCATGACAACTCATCCCAATATAAGACAACTCATCCCAAGTTAGAAGACAATTCATCCTAAGATATTAGCTATACAGAAACTCATACATAAAGATAAGGATATGTCATATTCTGACGAATTTCTATCAGACAATGATATGGGAACAATCAGCACGACTGTGGCCAACAATTTCAGTCACTTGTATGGTTCAAAGAAGGAATTGAAGCGTGTACGCTATGATAAGTATACGGAGCGCCCAAAAGTTAAAAGAATTTAAAACAACAATATCAATTTTATTAAAACAACAATATCAATCTTAAGATAACATATTTTTATAACACAATCAGAATGGTCTGTGTGGTCTTCAAAGAAAGCAGTTGTCTTATATTGGGATGAGTTGTCTTTGGGATGAGTTGTCTGTATACCGCTCAACCATGTCCAATCGAATTCCGCAAATTGTCAGGTGAAACGGTCTGTCATTTTGTCTGAGGAAAAGGACAAATTTATCGGTAGATTTTCGATATTTTTTCGAAAAATGAAAGTACGATAGATTGGGTATACAGACAACTCATCCCATGACAACTCATCCCAATATAAGACAACTCATCCCTAGATGAAAGACAACTCATCCTAACTTTAAAACATGGGTCGAGATACAAGACAACTCATCCCAACAAATATAAGTGCTAGTTATATTTGTTTTAATACAATTGCTTTCTTTGAAGACCATTCTGATTTTGTTATAAAAATGTGTTGGCTTAAAATTGATATTGTTGTTTTAATAAAATTGATATTGTTGTTTTAAATCTAAGCTCTGTATACTTAGCATAGCGTACACATTTCAATTCCTTCTTTGGACCATACATGTGACTGAAAATGTTGGCCCCAGTCATGCTGATTGTTTCCATATCATTGTCTGATAGAAATTCGTCAGAATATGACATATCCTTATCTTTATGTATGAGTTTCAGTATAGCTGATATCTTGGGATGAGTTGTCTTCTAACTTTGTATGAGTTGTCTTGTGCTACCATTCATGAATTCTAACTTTATTTGCTATCTTCTATATTCTAGAGCAGCTCTATAATTTGAAATCTAACTATTCTAACACCCAATGGATACAAGGTCATAACCATAAGAAAAATACAGGAAACCAAATATTGACAGGACCATGCCCGTTAGGCAATCAAAATTTTTTGTTATCGTGGTTCAACCCCATGACTGAAGGTTCAACAAAGTCTTGAAAACGGGCGTAGTAAATTTATCGTGGGTGCCGAACACTTTTTTGTCAGATATATTCAAGGGAATCTTACAAGATAAAACATACATTGTTGTGGAATTTAAACAGTGTCACCCTTCAGAGATTTGATATTTTCTCAATAAATCCAATGCCGATACGCATTACGCAGTCAATGAGCTGTTCACAGGGGGATGGTGTAATTCGGTTGTATGTAATTCAGCATAGAACCTTTTATTACAAATTTTGATGAAAGGTATACCTGCATATTTACAAAATAGTCTTCCTGTTAATTTCTTACATGTTCGTAAACTATGGTAAAATAATTATATTATCATTCTCATGTAGTATTTACAGGGTAGTAATCACTGCATGTTTTCACAGTAACATGTACATAGATTGCGTAGCCACTACAGTTTATAAACCGTATTTATATTTTAAGATTTGCGAGGTCAAAATAAAATGGGAGATACTTTATCAATTAATAATACAACAAACAAATAAGTTCCCAAAAGAAGATCGTATTTTTACCCCTTATAGAAAAGGTGGGGAATTGTCGCGTGATTCGCCCAACATTGTCAAAGACAGGAAGCTATATCATCGGATGATTCGTGTAGGTGCCGATGAAATTAGGGGTTTATATTGTAATAAACAGTTAATAACTCATAGTTTTGATCATTCTTTATTTATTAATCATACAACAAATAGTTAAGTTCTCCATGAGTGGTGTGTATTTTAAAACACAAATCTTGTTTGAGGGTAAATAATGAACAAAGATTTTAAAATACTTCGAGATGATATTTGGTGTTGAAATGTTGCTTATAGCCTCTACTTTTAATCAACAGTTGGGATTATCAATATCTCTTTTTAGCATGAATTTATTTTCCCAAGAAAACTCATAGTTTTTTGCTGTTTCCATGGATTCCAGACAAACCACATTCTATAGCTAAGAAAGTGAACCGTAGGTTTCATGGATCCTCCCAAGCATCTTCAGTGGTGATTTAACACTTCAAAAGGGAGGGTACAAAATGTAAATCAGATTGTTCCCAACAATAATTGTCTAACCACACTCACTGTAACTCTACATCTAGATAAACTGGTGTTGAGACATTGCTGCTGTGTGGGCATATTTCTACGTTTTGTGTGGCTATTTTTTTATGTGGGATAAAAAGTAAATATTTTCTGTTAATTTTTTTTTTAATTACTACAATTTTAGGGTGGTTACTACATGTAGCATGGATGGCTATTGTCAGAGATGGAAAAAAAAGTAAAAATCAAAAAGGCAGGTTGTAAACCTACTAAAGTCCGATCCAAGATAAAAACACCATCACCAATTTTAGAACCAGGGTCATTAGCTGGTTCTCACCGACACCTGAGTTCCAGTTTCTCTATGTTTCCAACAGGTGACATGACTTCGACTAACTTACCTACTCAAATGGAAGATCAAAGTCTTTATTTTCAAGATTTACCAGAAGCCTGTAAGCTGAAAGTTTTTTCTTATTTGGAAAACGTTGAGAAAGGGAAATATTCAAGTGTCTGTAAAGATTGGGCATTTTTGATGAAAAGTCCACGACTATGGAATCATGTTTCACTGTCCGACTTTACGCTTGGTTGTCTCTGTACTCACAAGTGTACTTCTGAATGCTATAAAAAATACAAGTCACGAGTTTTTCATTTTATACAATATTTGTGTCAGATTCGACCTGTACTTAACAGTTTAGAATTTAAATTAGATATTTATAATCCCAGTGATAAGTACCTGCCGCAAATTGAGAATTTCTTACGAATGTCACAGTGTCGTGAGTTGAATTACGCTCATCTAAATTGGAAGGAAACTCCCAACCAGCCATTATGGCTGGAAGAAGATTGTTTATATCGTGAATCAGATGTTATCCATCGTCATCGTCTACGACATAGAAAGTTTGTTTGGTTTTTTGACTTTTTCACAAATATAGCTTCGAATTTGAGAACACTTATTATGCCATTTGGATGGTCAGAAACGAGTGTTGAGCATTTGAAAAGGTTGAAAAATCTTCATACGTTGGTTTTAGAGAAGTATTTTGTTTTTCAAGGATTGAATCAAGCACTTTTAGATCGTGTTTTAGGAAACCTGCCTAGTTTGAAACAGTTATTGTTAGAGGTTTGGACACCAAGTGGAGCTGGACTCCTCTTTTATACGTTATCATCTCCATCCTTGCAATATTTAGACATTTCTCAGAGTCGTGGTTTCTACCTCAGTGGATTGAACATGCCAGCTCTGAAACGGTTTTGTGTGGCACGTCATCCGTGGAATGGACCAGTTGTTGCTTGTGATAAAATCAGCATACCTTGTCTTTACGGGGTTCTGATCCAGGGCACACCCCATTTGGAAAAGATAAATGATCATTATTTAGATGTGAACTGGAAAGATGGTATTTATGTTACCTTAGAAGAAGTTTTTAAAGCTGTGTGTGCATGTAAACTTCATAAACGTGGCTGGGCCATGTGAACAATTGGCAGCTTTTTACTCATTTAGACTGCTGTTGTCTGGATGCGTGAGCCACGAGTCACAAATGTTTACTAAAACTCTGTTTAGAATTTATTATTTAGTTTTTATAATTGTCATTGTCATAAGAAAATAATATAGTTTAAATTAATGCACTTGAAATAGTAAATCATACATACATATATACTGAGTCACACCATTTGGGAATTCAACTTCTGTATGTTCTTCATACTACATGTATATAACATAACAGTATTTATTTATCAAACACAATTAATGTATAAGGTACAGTACATGGACATGCATTGGATGCTCCTTCAAATGTTAAATTTGGCTAAAGGTAGCCATTTGCAGAAAAGGCACTTCACAAATTTGGTTCAATTTTAACACCAAAACCACAATCTGTACTCTTTTTATCAATGCACAGATTAACAATAAAACATCAGATTAATTAGTAAATTTATACACTATTTGAGAACCATTCATCAATAACTTAGCAGAGTATGCGTTCAATTTTAATTCCCAAATGGTATACCTCATAGTTAGATAGTCATTACATGTTATTAAAAATTCATCATTTAGCATGTTGTATATTTGAAGTATATCATACATTGAAATCTGTATAAATAAACTGACGTCTATTTAAAGATACTACCAGAGGTATGTACAATGAATAAAACCAATATCTCCACTATCTAATGATATATAAACTGTTTCTGAGAAAACCAATATCTCTTATTATTACTATTACATCCAACATAAAAATAAATAATTTGTAACCCCAAGAGCTTGTGTTAAAATATTCAGGAAACCCAAGATCTTTCAAAACCAAGATTTATAAATAGTTGTGTCATTCAGGTATCTGAAGTTTGTTCAAGTTTCATTGATGTATAGATATAAATCTATTGTCTTAATACATAACTCATGCCGTGTTCATGCACTTTAACAGATAATTTAATATAATTAAAAGTGATAATTGTTTACAATTTACAATAAGCTGACAAAATATTCATATGAAACAAATCAGTCAGATGTCTATCTTAAACAATTAACCGGGGGTGAAAGGTGGAGAAGAACTCACCCCCATGCAGTTTTTCACTTCATTATGGTTGGATTACAGATTACTGTTCTCTTTTGCAAATGGGAGCAAGATTAGCATTGCTCAATTTCAGACAGAATCACTTGGTGATAACATAAATATTATACACCTTGCCTGTGGAAGATGATACCAATGGAGTACAATGAATTTAATAAGTAACAGGTACTTTGACTTTGTCCAGATAACTGACTGATTTAATTCATTGTAGGTCCATAAGAGTTACATGTAAAAGCAGGATTGTAGTTATTGAATTTGTTGCAATAGAACAGGATTGTATTTTATCACTTGAGACTTTGAAGTTTTGAGTAGTTACATGTCAGAGGAACCAATAAAATTTATTCTACACAGGGTTGATACATTTCAGTATGCAATCTGCTTATCAAAATATCTGTCTGGTTTATTGTTTCCATTTACTGTAGATTAGAATATCCAGGTGTGATTCCCAACAGGAGCTGAAATAAACCACCAAAATTTATAAATTCAGGTTCAAATTTACCCAAATCCTACTCTTAAACTGTATATTAAGTGGTCATAGAAAATGATGACTTATTTATTAGCTTCAAACTGACATACCATTACAATGTTGATCAGGAGTTACCCTATGCCTTTCAGTGGTTTAGTAGTAGAACTTTAGAAGAAAATATTTACCTTTCAATGAAAAGAAATCGGTAGGGATTGAGAGAATTAATCACAAATTTCAGGACAGAAATTATTTACGTGAATCTTCTTTTCTTTGTTGACATTATGTAGTTTTTAGTTTATTATTTTATTTCTTAATCTTATTTTTTTATATATTATGAATATATTAGATTGTATATTTAATGACTGTAAGTCGTAGGAGTAGATTAGTTATATTGTTGTGTTGTTATTAGAAGTGATAATAGATCATGTTTTCTATTGTTTTGTACAAATTAATATCGATAGTTGATATAAATATGTATTTAATATATAGACCAGTTATTATGCCTATTTTTGTGTCTTCTGGATAGCAATAAGATAATACATGAGCGACTGGAAACGTGTTGGCGTAAGTTATCTAAATATTCCATTTGTACCCATCTATTAAATAGTTCCGAATTCATTGGAAAAATTAGATCAAATTTGATTTGGTTACTGGAAATTGAGAAAGTAGCTGAGAACGCTTTGGACAAATATTAAAATTTAGTCCTACTGTACAGTGATTTTCTGGATCTGTTAATTTCAGATCAATATTTCTACTAAATTAAGGTTTTCATATAAAAATCGAAATGCTGGGATTGTTTGTCTATTTTAAATGCTGATTAGATTGAGTTGTTAAGAGAGAGGGAGACAATAACTGGGTATAATATTTGGTCTAATATAAATAGTGATAATGACAATAATGGCTTATATGTGGTAACCAGTCACACCCAGCCAGTTATTAAGTTACAAAATAGCTGAAACCAAAAGGAACAAGCAAATATATTATTTCATTAAACAAAATCAAGACTGCTACATTAAATTCAAATATGAGTTGAGGCAATAATTTATTAATGGGAGTTTGTTTTACCAGATTTTGTTTTAGCATCAATATTCTTTAGTTACATGTACCATGGTGACTCTTCAGATCCTTTTGTTGTTGTGTTAATTTCTAAAAGTTTTAAAGATAGATCTGCTCATAGTTATGGTAATCTGGTCAACTATAAAACAATTATTTTTAATATATTTCTTATAATCCAGAAAATTATGGGCAGAGATTTGTAAACTCAAAATAAATGAAATAGTATTGAAATCCTGTCCTGTTATCTGCTTAGTCCTTAGTATCTTGCACTACCTGCAGTGATAGTACATGTACCTTCAAATTTGGAATAGAAAAAACATCCGGCCAAAATAATTACAATATTTTTGAACAACAAATCTATCTTTCTAGGTAATTTGTATAACTTAATCTAACAATAAGCAGATGGGAGTACCAAGCTTTCTGATTGATCTATATTCTACTATTATATAAGTTTATATAGCCTTACGTGACAACAGGATAGTCAGTTATTTTTTATATACTTAATACCTGGTTAAATGTGACCGGCCACATATATATGTATATTTGTATTGATATACATAAAAAAAAACATTTTACATTTTATTGATATTCATATTGTATTATTTTGTTTGTTAGTATTTGTTTATTTAATAAACATATACTATAATTGTTATGAGATGATTTGAAATACTTTGCATATTTTTGCTGTGGTGTTAACTTGTAAAACACCCAAATTTATTTATAAACATGACATTTTAATATTATATTGTTTCTAACAAAAAAGTGCTTGTCTAGACCTGATAAATAATTGTTAGTTCCTTGGTTGTTTTGTTTTTTTTCAGTTAACACTAAACAAGAGCTTAGTGTGCATTGTTATTTGATAAATTAAATAACATTTCCTGCTTATGACACTGATAAATGAAAACATGTTTTTATCATTCAATCATACATGCACATTTATTTAAAGGTCTTGACCTCTTTGAGTTGGGTTAGAATTAAAAAGGTTGACTTTATCATTTTGGAGATCTTTGCTGTTTTAAAAAAAAAAAAAAAAACCCACTGATTTGACATGATCTATCCAGCAATCCACAAGATATATTGTTTAAAGACTGATTTGTTAGGCATACAATGTTTTTTTTGTGTTTTTAAAACCTCAACATATCAGAATAAAGGTTAAATATCGTGGTTAATAAGTCTATACATTGTTAGAAATAATTTGGACAAAAAATTATTGACATCAATCAGTTCTAACTGTTTTTATTGGGGTTTTGTTGATTAAACACAACCATCGTTATATGAGAGTGGTAATGATATTGCCTTTATAAGCAATTATTGCTGATATGGTCAACAGTTTATGTAAAATAAAAAAAAAACGCTGAACATGATAAACCAATTGACCTCTACTTAATCTACGAGCTTGATTCATAACACATGAGATCAACCATATTAATTCCTTTTTTAAGCCCTAAATCAAAGCAGTAGCCAAATGCCCTGTTGCACAATATTAAATGTATTATGTATGAGTAGCCCTAGAAAGATGGGGTATATAGATAAGCTTATTTATTATTTTCCATAATAATACTCTCAATTATATTACGTCCATTAGAAATTTTGAGTGTATGAAATAATACAAAAAATTGTGCTATTTTCAGTTTTTTGTAATTGGGGAAATAATTCAGATTATTAGATGTTTAAAAAGAATTGCATGTACAAATGTAATATTTTAGACCTTGAATACGTATGTACATTTTTTTCTCTGTATCATATATTATCAATTTGATATATCTAAATTTCAGTTTTTAATGCAAAAAAGGACATGTAAAGATTATGCTGGCAGTACATGTAAATGTACTAGTTTTTTGAAGCACTATTAATACCTTGCTCTGAACACTTGTATGTACATTTGTATTTCTATAATTAGAATGTATATATCTATGTAGGCAGATAGAGGTATGTCTATATATATTTATCTAACTTTAATGAATAAAAACTAAATTAATTTTAAAAGTCTGTGATTGTGTAATTTTAATGAAAGTAAATGCTTTAATTACAGAATTATTTTTGTATTATTTTTTCCCCCAATTTTAGCTAATTGTTAGCCTTTTTCTTATAATGCTACAGTCCATTTAGCCATGGTCCCACCCACAATTCATTCTTCTGACAACCCTTTTTTATACGCCCACATGGAATGTGAATGTTCTAAGGACAAAAGTTATTATCCGATCTGTATGAAATTTATATGCATCGTTTAGATTAGTAAAACAAAGAAGCTTATTGAATTTTAGCAATTTCCGTTAATTACATCTAGAGTTATGGCCCTTGTTTCACTTTGTTGAATCTTGTGAATGCTCTAATGACAACAGTTATCATCTGATCTGTTTGAAATTGATATGCATCATTTAAATTAGTGCAACGAAGATGCCTATTGAATTTCAGCAATTTCCGTTTATTACACCATGAGTTATGGTCCTTGTTTCACTTTGTTGTACCTTGTGAATGCTTTAACGACAAAAGTTATTATCCGATCTGTATGAAATTTATATGTATCGTTTAAATTGGTAAAACGAACAAGCCAATTGAGTTTCAGCAAATTTCGGTCAATTACATCTAGAGTTATGGCCCTTGTTTCACATTGTTGAATCTTGTGAATGCTTGAACGACAAAAGTTATCACCCAATCTGTATGAAATTCATATACATCATTTAAATTAGTGAAATGAAGAATCCTATTGAATGTCAGCAATTTCCGTCAATTACTTCTAGAGTTATGGCCTTTGTTTTACTTTGTTGAACCTTGTGAACGTTTGAACGACAAAAGTTATCATCCGATATGTATGGAATTGATATGCATTATTTGAATTAGTAAAACGGAAAAGCCTGTCGAATTTCAACAATTTCTGTAGATTATTTCCAGAGTTACGGCCCTTGTTTTAGTTTTTAGAACCTTGTGAACCCTCAAACCACGAAAATTATAATGTCATCTGTATGAAATTGTCTATTAAATGCCCCCTAATTACCTACAAAAGAATAAATATACGATAACTCTTGTTGACCGCTCAGACGATTTAGCTGCTGTACGGGCGTATGTTTTGTTGCCTGACAACCTATCTTTACATTTTCATTACATTTAAATTAGTCTGACGACATTTGAAGAATTGTTAAACCTTTGCAAACTAGAATATTGTGGAGGTTGAATATCCGAAAAGAATATCTGCCCAAAAATGGTACAATTCGGTTTACTATTTACAAAGAGTCAGCTAGGTGCTTAGGTGGATATTTTCATAGTATCATTCCCTTTTTGACAATTGACAAATGGATAGTTTTTGATGTTTTCTTTCGAAACCCTGCGCCACTTTTAAGGGAAAGAGAGAACCTGAGTTTAACGACATAAACTAGGTCATTTCGGGAGTAACACATGGTTCAATTTTATTTCAATAATTTGGTAGTGTGTAGGGGTCTTTAACAGTGGGGGGAAACAGGTGACCCTACTTCATATTGTGTACATGCGCACACGTTCAACCATATGGCTACACAACCCCGTCTCATTTTAACTATTAACATTAATATATTACTCTTAATTCTAGGTTGTCACTGTGGTGCAATGCGTTACGATAAGATTGTCCCTATTGAGTCAACGATCTGGTAAGTGCGGATACGTTTCGATGTGATCAACACGACCAGAGGCGTAGCCATGAAATATATATTGGGGGGGTCCGCAAATGACAATTTTATGGAACACCGTTACTTTTCACTTCACACATGTTTCCAGGATGATTCTCTCTGTGTTTTATTTTAGCAATGTAAACCATATAGGGATATGTACAAGTTTTATACAGATAGAATCTTAACTAATCCTAATAATTGTTGTAAATAGATAGGAGTTAGGGCCTACTATGTAAATTTTGAGGGGTCCGGGTATATTCAGACCCCCCCCCCCCACACCCCCGAAAAACAATTGGGACGCCCATGAACACGACTGCTACGACTGACCTCAATATATGAGAAGACCTTACAGAATCACCACGATTTCAATCGTAGCACGAATCGTGATAGTGGGAACCTATTAGAATAAAGCACTCTTCAACTCCAATATGTGAAAGTAGTAAATCTTACCATAAACATGCAACCCAAAACAGTTAGCAATATTGTTTTCGATTTTTATACGCCCACATTGAAATGTGGTCGTATATTGTTGACGCCCCGGTCCGGTGTCCACAATTGCTTGTGGAGGCTAACGGTAATATCCGATTGACTTTAAATTTATACTGTGTTTAAGGTCATGAGATCAAGAATTCTATTGATTTTCACCGATTTCCGATAATTATTGCCAGAGTTATGGCACTTGATAACTTTGAAAAATCTTGTGGTCGCTCTAGAGGTTAAAGGTAACATCTGATTGACTTTAAATTTACACACAGTTTTAAAGGTCATGAGACGAAGAATCCTATTGATTTTCACCGATCTTCGATAATTACTGCCAGAGTTATGGCTCGTGATTACTTTTAAAAATCTTATTGATGCTCTCGCGGCTATAGTTAACATCCGACTGACTTTAAATTTATACACGCTGTTTAAGGTCATGAGACAAAGGAGCCTGTTGATTTTCACCGATCTCCGATAATTTCTGCCAGAGTTACGACTCTTGCTCACTTTGAAAAATCTCGTGGTTGCTCTGAAGGGTAAAGTTAATATCCGATTGACTTTAAATTCATACACAGTGTTTAAAGTCATGAGACGAAGAATCCTTTTGATTTTCAACGATACTGCCAGAGTTATGACCCTTGATCACTTTGAAATATCTTGTCGGTGCTTTAGAGACCATATTTATCATCTGATTAATTTTATATTTATACACCGTGTTTACGCCTATATATAATCGTTTCTAATACATATAATTGCATAATGAGTTTTTAGTCTTAATCAGATTTTAGTGTATCATAAATGTTTCATTACCGACAAAAGTTAAAATATGCGACAACTCTTGATTACTGCCCGAACGATTTGGCTGCTGTGGGCGTAGGTTTCGTTGTGCTGATAATACGAGAATGCGTATATTTTAAATGCCATTTAAACACATGTCTTCTATTCACTTAATTCATTAAATATTCGATTTTATGTGTTGATAATTTATCTCGAGATAAAATAATTATCGCAGAGTTCTCTCCTAACTTAAATATGAATGGGCAGATTCGTCTGAATTGTTGTATACTTTGTAATATAAACATGTCCGATCAGTGGCGATAGCCAAAGTGTCTTTTAATAAATCTACGTTGAATAATAAGTATCCCCCCTCTCCTTTAAAATATAGGTCTACATGTATCTCCCAAAGATCTCGGTTCCTTTCGACATTGGCATATATTGGACCATAACGATATGGATTATGACCCCTGAGTGTAAGAAAAATCACAGTTTTAGTTTGTGAACCCTCTAGGTCACAATTTTCATCTGATTTTGATGAAACATGAAATGCATGTTTATAACCAAAAGATCTTGGTTCCTTTCGATATTTGCGTATATCGGATCGTAATTTCCTGAATAATGGCCCCTGATTGTACGAAAAATCGCGTTTTTAGCTCGAGGTCACAATAATTATCCGATTTAAAAAAAAAAACGTTTGAATATAATATACTCTTCAAAAAAAGTAGGGGATATTCAGAAACAATACAAAACTGCGGAAATGCACTGCTGCTTTTATTAGAGGTAACCAGTGTATGTTAACAACAGGCCATTTGTCTACACATGAACATAAACAGTTCATATGGGCGGCTTATCTGACGGCCCATTTCACTCACAAAGAGATACCCTGTCAAAAGTGAAAATGAACGTTTTTGATTTTTGTCTTAATAATGAGTAATTGCTCCACCAATCCTCAGACATTCAGCAATTCATCGTGGCATGCTCCTAATCAACCGTCCAGTCACGATTTGGGGCAATCTGACCCACTCCTCTTGCAGTGCCACGGCCAATTCTTGCAGTGTTGTCGGTTGACTTTGACGTCGAAGAACACGTCTCCCGATCAAATTAAACGTAACACACTAAAGTAAAGATACGCTTAACAGTAAATCTTATGCAAGAACCGATAGGAAAGCAAACATGGATAGGATAAACCAGCAAGCGGCAGTTTTCATCAACCCTTCCTTGAAGTTTCAAATTTGACAATGAACCCCTCCCACGTGTATGACGCTATTGCGTGTCGCATGTGCAGCTCAGTGGTTCTGTTGGGGCGATAAGTTCTTCATCCGTGAACATCCTCTAAAAGCCTGTCAAGTATCCATGACTATTTACCATATCACAACCTGCATAGGTATTTGCATTTCAATATCGCCTACTTTTTTTGAAGACGTGTCATCCTGGACATCAAGTAGCTATATCCCTGGCGTTCGCCATTCGCCGTTTTAGGAGAATCACAGACACCGCTATTGCCCCAGTCATCCCAATCTTGTTACCGCCCAGTAGATCATCAAATTGTTGGAAAACGAGAGGGGTGAATGATCGAAGGTGCGATCTTTATAGAAATTGTCGACAATGCTTTTAATCCTAAATAATCATTAAACACAAATACTTCTTCCAATTTTTCTGTTCTTAGTATCAATAATATTAAGCTCAATTGCTGCAGGCTGTAACCGAGATATCAATAAGAAGACATCAATATCAGGGTAAATAAAATGCCCGGACATACACAAAATATTGACCGAAATAAAAAAAAAAGATAAAATTTCGAAATGTACACAAAATATATTTAGTATTGATTGAAAGAAAAGGGGAGCCGCGTTATCTGTAGCCCAAGGAACGAATGTGTGAGCATAATGATCAATTTACAATCTGCAAAATAACTAAGATACAAGACAATTTCGTTTTTAAATTTCAAATTTGTAGAGTTGACATCTACGATACATGTATCATGCACTACTTGATCTGATGGATCTAAAGAGAGGCGAAGTCCTCTGCAAGACGTTAAGGAATAATTGTATGGCTGTCGAAAATATTTCACCCAAGTGGACCAGCAGAGAAACTAATTCAATTACAGTATTGTAAAGCTAAACATTCTTATTACCTCTCCTGCCCAACTGACATATGGATATTTACCCCCGCTCCCTCGCCCCTTTCTCAACTACTAAGTTGAGGCAAAGAGAATAAGACTATATGACATGATTTGAAAATTGTTTTATTAACTGATAATCTTTTAAACAGTTTGGTCTCTATGTTATTAGCCAGTCTGATTTTGTTTTAACAGGGAATATAATTAGGTTATTTCACCAACCTTCCCTCCCACTAACCCTTTTCCCAATTTACAGGACCCTATAATATCATTATGCACACAGAGATCCATATACATGTACTTCATACTTCGGTAATAGATCTCTTTATATTGTTTTGTAATACACAAAAAGACTAATTAAACATTTTCATCTTTATTAAATGAAAGCAGAATATATACTTCTCAAAATTCTCGAAACATACTAATGTTTTCGACTAAAATCGTCGATGTAGAACTTAAAATGTAGGTCAACTAACTAATATAAGTGTCTGTTCTCAAGCGGAGCTGCCTGTCTACAGTTAGTTTAGTATGCTATAATAGTTGTAATAAACTGAACACAATGAAAAGACACCATTGATTTGACTGGCGAGACATCATGTTGTTGTTTTTTTTTTTTGGGGGGGGGGGGGTTGACACGAGCTTGTATTTTGGTTCAATGTACGACTGTCTGGCAGAACTATATATACCCTTAAAAAAAGTAGGGGATATTCAGAAACAATACAAAACTGCGGAAATGCCCTGCTGTTTTTATTAGAGGTAACCAGTGTATTTTAATAACAGGCCAATTGCCTACACATGAACATAAACAGTTCATATGGGCGGCTTATCTGACGGCCCATTTCACTCGCAAAGAGATACACTGTCAAAAGTGAAAATGGATGTTTTTGATTTTTGTCTTAATAATGAGTAATTGCTCCACCAATCCTCAGACATTCAGCAATTCGTCGTGGCATGCTCCTAATCAACCGTCCAATCACGATTTGAGGCAATCTGACCCACTCCTCTTGCAGTGCCACGGCCAATTCTTGCAGTGTTGTCGGTTGACGTTGACGTCTCCCGATCAAATTAAACGTAACACACTAAAGCAAAGATACGCTAAACAGTAAATCTTATGCAAGAGCCGATAGGAAAGCAAACATGGATAGGATAAACCAGCAAGCGGCAGTTTTCATCAACCCTTCCTTGAAGTGTCAAATTTGACAATGAACCCCTCCCACGTGTATGGCGCTATTGCGTGTCGCACCTGCAGCTCAGTGGTTCTGTTGAGACGATAAGTTCTTCATCTGTGAACATACTCTCAAAGCATGTCAAGTGTCCATGACTATTTATCATATCACAACCTGCATAGGTATTTGCATTTCAATATCCCCTACTTTTTTGGAAGAGTATATAATGGCCCAACGGGTAAGTAGACTCTTAAAGAACCATTTTACTGCTAAACCTACCAGTTGCAGCAGTACAGCAAACTGGCAGGCATTACCAGATAGTGTGTTGAAACTTGTTGAGGCGTTGTCACGCGTTGCCGTCCAAGCCTTTACCTATCTCAAGTGGAACCTGTCTGCTGGAAACAGTCGGCCAGTCTCAGGATGGTAGTGTGATGACATTCAAACTTTGGGCAACGACTCTTAATTATTGTACTCGTAAATACCTGGATTTACCAATATGTCAAGTTCTCGGTGTGCAGGTGTCAACAAAACCATAGAAGTAGTACTGACAGTAGCTTTTTTAAAGCCACGTTTTACACCCTATGTATGCAAAATGAGATAACTGACCTTTGTTGTGTTGATTTGAATGCGATAACATCATTCTCTCTTGTTATCGTCGCGATCTGATGTTATATTCAGAATTGCAAGATAATGTGTATTTCTCAAATTAAGATTTACAAACATCCACGTATTAAGGTGTTGCGTTTTCATTCTTCTCAGTATTTACGTTTCGGATACCGTCTAAAAAAGTTATTGTCGGATAAACATAGTCTCAGACAGATTATGTCGAATACATGGGAATCAAAATGCATAGCGCGTTAGTCATATCTGATGTCAGAGAGATATTGAATTCTCTAAAGAAACCTTTAAAAAGTCTTTGTCATATTTTTTCTTCATTATTTGTTGGTATGTATTTATGGTATATACTTATAAAACTGGTCGACATAAATGACTCCTGTGGATAACATTATGCGTTATAATATCAAATACAATGTAATAGTCGATAGTAGCAAGGAAAGCATTTCTGAATCCGGGCATATTTTGTGGAATCCAAGAAGCAGCAATTACTCCTTTTGGAACGTTTCTCCAAATATTTTCTTCGCTGTTATCATCGAGGTCGTATCTATTGATTATGGGCCAGGAACCGACAAGTGGTGTTGCTACTTCAATAACTTTGTCATTGCTGAATGCATAGACACCATCACCATTTTTATTGGATAAGAGAGCCCACACTCGATTTCCATTAGTCAACTGTTCAAAATGTTTTGGCCATGATCCTGGACCGGGACACGCAGTGCTGTCAAGATTACACGAGGTCCAACCATTGCCTGTAATATACACATAATATATTCATATATCACAAAACGACCCTGTCGGCGAGAGAGAGGCTATTATATCCGCAAAGAAAAGAAAATAGAAACATCCTCATCCTGACACCACTGACGTAATTAGAGAGGGTGGGGGCATCATTGGGTTATAGAAAGGGGCAGATCCAGGAATTTTTGCAGGAGGGTGTCTGCCGGGCTCCTGATAAGGAAAGTTGACAGTTGACAATGCATGATGCCATCATCGTCTATAAATTACGTAAGGCATACAACACATTGAGCTTTTTAAAAAGAAAAAAACTAGCACCCCGTTTTATAATGAATTGATGCAAAGCATTAATTGTGATATCACAGATGTCTATATCATTATTTCGCGCATTGAATGCCAATCCCATCCCACCATCTGATGATAAAGGGTAAAGCACACGACCGTTACACTTTTCTCATAAAGTGTGGTTTTACAAAAACATTTTATGTAGCTGAGCGGTGTCGGGTTTGCCCCCCCCCCCCTCCGATCCACCCCAGATAGACTCCTGCTTTGTATCATCAATTTCATTTTAACAGTAATTAACATACTCTCATGTCTCCCATGTCTGAGACGTGATCCCCCTCCCCCTCGCCACGGAAACGTCTGCGATAATGTTGTCGCTGTTGTTTATTATACCAATGGTAACGCCCAATACACTAATTACATAAATCATGATATTATTATGAACATGTTGATATAATTAAGATTATTTACATATGAAGGAGGCATTAAAAAAATATAATGACAGATCAGTCTTTAGTACCTACCATCTTCTATCAGAGTGATTGAGGTGCTATTCTGATGATATCGCATCGTAGCAACGTTAAGAACAGTCTTATGTTGACCCATGGTTGCAGCTTCGACAGTCTCGACAAAGGAAACATCTGTTTGTGACAAGCTCGGATTAAATGTCAGGTAGTAAGTGTTTAGCCCCCAATCAGCAGATATGATTGTGCGTAAAACATTATTATCTGAATTGGCTGCGACTATACCAAACGATGGTTGACAGGTCTGAAATATAAAGCACAATATGTAGCTCGTTTAAAATATAACTCAGCGATCTAACCACGCCCAATCAGTGGTGTTTATGACCAATATTACACGCCCCCAGCGCCGGATTAACCATGAGTAGGGGTTTGGGGCCGTGAGTATGTAGGGGGGGGGGGGCAACCTAACACAAGTTACCAGAACTTAGTATTATTCCAAACTGAATATGAATGTAACTACATCAAAACTAATCTGAAATCGGTCAGTGATAAATAACGTTACGGCATGGGACAGGCCTAATCAAACGCATAAATTACTGCTGATGTATGATGCATGATAAAAAAAACAAACCCGTTCCCGACACTCGCATAAAAGGATTGTAACGTTTACAATCCCCGCAAAAAAAATCATCCTAGCCTGACCCATGTTTAAATGAATTTTGTTTGAAACAAAACGCGAAATATCATAAGTAATGTAGTCTATACAGACACTAAACATATTATACACACCAAATTATCAAATAAATCACCAGCAACAAAAAGACAAAAGTACGCTCGGAGATAACCAATGGCACTTTTGACAGATTCTACGTTCAAACCTCGAATATAAATGAAATGAAATGGGGTTTAACGCCCGACTGTTCTTCTCCTGGTTAATGAAGACGGGCATACGCCATACAGTTTGCTATGAGGAAAATTTTGCCCGGACAGCGGCACTACGGTCTACTCTTATATCGAATTCTATCTGTCAAGGGTTCTTTTACGTGCACGCCAATGTGTACACGGGGTCTCGGTTTTTCGTCCCAGCCCTGTCTTTGTCAGGCCTTCCATCATGCATCACTGACAAATGCGAACCACGTCGGAAAATTCCGATGAACTTTCTCGGTCAGCGTCTTACCCACTTAGCCACCGTGACCCCGAGTATAAATGGATTCCAAGTTACTTTGATTCCACCTCCTAGTAGCACAGCAAGTTGTAACCAAAATATTGCCACTAAAGAGGATTTTAATGCGTATCCTTGATACAATTTTCGCGCTAAATGAACAAAAAAAGAGGAACGCGGATACCAGTCGAAAGTGCTACGCAGCATCGCCGGATGGCACCGAATTGATGGGGATTGAAGGGGTTCCAATGTCCAGGACTTTAAAAATTCCATGGAGGGACTCGGAGGGCCACATCACTGCCACTAGCAGATAGTGTCCCTGGTCCGATTTGAGATAGTTTGTGTGTGTTGGGGGGGGGGGCTGATGTGAGGGGTCCCACCGTGCCCCGTGGAAAATCTGCACGACCCCTTTTATATGTTCTGGCTTGTCATATAAAAGCCGGAGAAAACCGGAGCACCCGGAGAAAACCCACGAGGGTGGACAGACGACCTTACTCTTTGTCACGTACAACCGGCGAATCAAAACCACTCCAGTTGACTCAATGACAGACCTTACGATGCAACGCGCACGCGCTAACCATTCGACCATCCAACCCCGCTGTCTCGTTTGGACTTTAGTGTTATGATTTCCCCGTGACGTCATGTATTCAGGTTCTACGATTGAACTTTTATTCTTACTAAACGAGGCAAATTGTTAATCTCAAATTTCACCGCTCTCAAGAAAATCAATAAGCTTTCTGGTTTGGTCTAGGTAAAGTCTGTGTCAGTTCTGCTCAGATAAAATGCCTTTTAAAAAGGGCTTTGATTTGTAAAAAAGATTTATTTGTAAAAACGGGTTTATGTTTTCATTCTCAGAGCGTACATGCCCCTGATCTGTAACAGGGGCCTGTTTCACGAAATTTTAACGAAGATAAAATCCAAATTTTAGTAATTTGATTGCATAATATTAGGTTGATTTTAGTACTTAGCCAATCAAAATTGAAGTATTTACTAAATTTGGATTTTATCTTTAGTTAAGATTTTGAGAAACAGGGCTCAGACCCATAATGAATATCCCAAGGCTCTCTGTTTCACCGAAAAGAAATAACTTACCTTCTCCCAATACTCAGACTGTTCATCAGCTATTAAAGTGTTCGGATCTAACGGTATGTCATCCAGGATTTCGCATTGCTTCTTAGCTATGTAATTTACTGCTTTACACAGGGGGTTGCTGTGGCATAACCGACAACATTCTACTGCACTTCCAACAGACTCTTCAGCAATTGGGCTGCGATTAAACTTGACATTCATTTTGATGATTTGGGAGAAAATCTGCTGTGACTCGTTCTTGGCCCAACATATAATAAACAACATTGAAACAAAAATGGACAGCTTAGCCACGAAGAGTGCCATTTTTATAAAGACAAACGAACAAGGTAGCAGAGTTAATAATTTTTCAGGTTACTAATCTTGTCAAGTGATCTTTGAAGTCATCTCCAATCTCATTTTTAGTACTCCAGAAATAGCATCTAGAAATCAAGAATTCCAATAATGGTTTGTTTGGAAAATAACCAATGGGACGCAGTTGCTAAGCATTAATAGTTTCAATATGACTTCAATTGAATAAGGTTAACAGTATAACACAACACGCCATGGCGATGTTTATTAAAGTTCTACAAACAATCCCATTCGGTTTAGAAAGGTGTTCACGAATAGATCTCAATAGCCCATTGAAAACACAAGTAACTTTATTACGAAAATCAATTACTGATAAACACTGAATATCGATAAAGGCGATTTAGCTTCGAACGATTTGGTCCCGAGCGAAATGTGTAAATTATCAAATATTGTATCTGTAGATACGAAAACATATTGACTTTAAAGGTCTTTGTCGGTTTAGTAATCAGAATCTGAATTTTTTGTTATAATGCTTATGAATTTAACTCAGATCGAATTTTTAGTCAGGTTTAAACCCGGCGATTTTACCAAATCAGCCATCCCTATATTATTATAAAGAAAGGTGCACAAAAAACTATCTTGCTCACCATGGGCGTATTTGCACAGTAGACAGGTGGGTGGGCGGGTGTGGTGGCAGCTGTCTGGGTGGGTATATGGGTTTTATTTAAATGTGAAAAATGAAGGATACGTGTTCCCTCGTATTATCTTCCCAGGTTATCGGTCCTTCCGTCCATAATTCTTGCATTGCTATGATCTCTATTAGGAATATTCGGATCACGCGAGTTAAATATTTTCTAATTTAAAACAGCAAAGCTTAAAAAGCTACAATTTCATATTTTCTAAGAAAGTCAAAACATAATTATTTCTATGTCTTTTGCTCAATAGGTTGTCAACTCACTATTATACGATCATAGTTATCATTCTCACACTCAAAATTGTTTCACGCAATTACCTCCTAATTACCTCCCTTGTTTTTCTATTCCCTACCATGGAATAGCTATCTTTAAACGTTTGAATTTGAAGTTGAAAATGATATTTTTGCCAATTTCTCAACTGGTAGTGAATTATAGGATTAGGCCTAATAGGATTATTCTTTATCAAGGTAGGACTGTTTATGCATAGCATCGATTTTAAGGCTTTATTTTAATACATTTTAAAAATATAACCTAAAAATATGAAATTGTAGCTTTAAATATTAACTTTTATTGATCTCTTTTGGGAATATTCTGATCACGCGAGGTTAGTGAAGTTATTAAATGAAAACTATATTTAAACATAGCCTACATTATGCAAGAGCTTCAGATGTCATATAAATTATAAATTAGATCTTTATTTACACAAAAAGCACAGAGTCAACCCTGTTACACTGTAGACCCAAGGATGGCTTGAATTCGGCTTGGATTTAAACAGGATTTCATTAATTGGTTAAATTTTTAAATGGCGTCGTAAGCGGAGATTAACCGTTACGTTGACGTCATACTCTCGGAAATTTTAGATCGAGGCTAAATGATAGAGTGTACGAAACGAGGCCGCTCTTGTGCGAGGCCGCGTGTCAGTCAATTTGATTGAAAGTTCGATATATACGGCCTTGATATTATGTTTAGTTGTGGTTAAAATGAGAGTTTGGATGTCGGTATTATACGCTCTTTTGTCACTTGCGTTTACAGAAAAATTATGGAAATTGATAAACATCGCAGCTAACTTCACCCCAGTTGAATTGCAGCCCCATTGGATCACTGTTTCCTATTTGTCTGCTTCGGGAGTTATGTACAGTACAAGAGTACACGCAGGCTAACAAGAAGTCGGCTATAATTATGCCTCATTGATTTGGTCCATTCCTTTCAAACTTTCGCTTCTTATCTTATTTTTAATTTGTAGTAAAAATAAATGTGATACGAATTGAATTGCAACCCCGTCTCAAACCGAATCATCTTCAATAGAAGGCTTGATCTCGCCTTAACTACGTACATCTTAAAACTCGCGGTCGTTGCTTCAGGAACATGAAACAGAATAGGCTAACGGTACCACAGCCATTGAAAACGTTACTTGATAATCGAGATTATGTAGGTGGAGTTAACACCTATCAATCAAACGATCGGCCATTCTCGGAGACGGTGAAGTGAGAGTTGACTCCTATTTCTAGTCAAAAATTACAATGGTGATAACTTTGTTCCGAATAAAGTAATTTGACTGAAATTTTCAATATATTCTTCTTTCATCATCTATTTTTGAACTGTTATAGCAAGAATGGCCAACTCTTTATTAAAATCTCCCTTAATGTATCTTTAATATGACACTAACATTGTTTTGAACGACGAATTTCCCATTTTCTTGGAGTCGATGTTAATTAAGTGGGATTTATTTATTTTATTATTTTTAAAGTGGTGTGAAGCATTCGGACTGTGAGAGGATGAATTTTATTATTTCTTTGAATCGGAGAATGATTCCTGTTCATTTTCAAATTTGGTGCGAAGCGTTGAATTTCAGAATTCTAGGATTTTCTCTTCTTGAGGTATATCACATACCCGGAAAAGGTTGTGAACATCGTAGAGATCAGATATGTTGAAATGAAATGAAATGGGGTTTAACGTCCTACTGTTCTGCTCCTATAATGGGCTAATGAAGACGGGCATACGCCATACATTGTGCTATGAGGGAAATTTTGCCCGGGCAGCGGCACTATCGCCTACTATTACATCGAATTCAAACTGCCAAGGGATCTTTTACGTGCGTTCCAATGTATACACGGGACCTCGGGTTTTCGTCTCATCCGAAGGAGTAGACAGCTGTCCTTGTCAGGACCTCCGTTCTGCATAACTTTCTCGGCCATCGGGATTTTCCGACGTGGTTTCCCCTTATCAGTGGTGCAGAACGGAAGGCCTGACAAGGACATTTGTCAGATTTGGTCAAGTTTTCCTTTCGGATAAGCTGCAGTCTATGACTATCTATGTAGGAAAGACACAGCCATTTGTTGCTCTGTTTGTGGTGAGAAGTGTTCAACCTAAAGACGATTTGGGAAAAAGTTGGAGCCGTGCAAAGAGCATCCTCGGTATCCCCGGTGTTCTCCACACTACCCTGGGTTAATCCATAGGGTTTCCACGATTTCAAATTATCTGCCCTGGCCTTGATTGTAGTTAAGGTCTACGAACCAATCAAAAACAGTTTACAAACCAGTCGTTTAGCCTTCTTTTTTTATAAGGGTAGATAATCATATTCATGTCCATTTACTGAATAATTGATGTAAATAATGTATATATTTCTAATTCAATTCTAATTAATTTTATTATCAAAATCCGTAGTATGTTTCGCTGATTTCAAATATGTATAAAATCTATATGTTTGACTTTTTTTATTATTTGTTTCATTCTGTTATGGTTTTTATTATTAAACTTATACTTGGCAATTTGATTCACAATAATTTGTCTACGATATCACGTGGACGTAAAACTCCGGGAACGAACGAACTAACGATTCTCAGTAAAACTCTTGACCCTACATAGATATAAACGTCCGGTCTCCATTAATGTAATATTATATAATTTGTTGTTAATAAATGCACAATTAGAATAATTTGGACTTCTCTCATTTAGGCTAACTACTAACCTTGTCCGATGGGAGCTACTCCCCTTTGCCAACTTCCTTTGCAATTAACGATGTATGGGATTGGTCGATCAAGGGCGGATAATTTGAAAACGTGTCTCGCCCATAGATTAACCCAGGGGTTAGTGGAGTAGAACGGAATGAAACCACTGGGGATACCGAGGATGTGCAAAGACCAGAATTAACAGTGACGTCAATGGGAAAAGTAATGGCGATCTGCATCGGAATTATTAAACCGAGTTACTCCCCTTATATAGTTAACCAAGTATAAAATGACCCACATCAAATACATTTTCCGCTGGTAAAGTACACCAGAACCCCCGCATGGGTACCAAATACTGTTGTCTAGATAAACCCAAATAAAAAAGTTAAAATGAAGAATTAGACTCTACTTAGTATAAAATACACATTCCCAGACAAATTTTCTGCTGCGCCTTATTTTGGTAAGATTGTTTAATACAACAGATGGTCAACCAGTTTTATGTCATTGTTGTGTGTCTTAATTAATCGAGGTAAAAAGATTGGTATTAGCTGTCCGATCATTACAAATAAAGTTGAATAATCTCATTCCAATACACAGAAGATAATATGCACAAATTAAAGTAGACAATTTTGTAGTAAGGTCCTTGAGAATTGCACCAAGTGAAAATCGCAATTTGGAATTGTCCGAGAACTGGGATGATGATCTGATTTATATTCCTAAAAACTTAGATCAAGATCTTATACATATTCCTTAAAACTGGGATGAAGAATTAATAATAATATAACGCTTGTGCGTATACAAGGGGTTTTTCGGGACCCCACGACCAGAACCTTAACGTTTGTGAGGAACTGGTTCATAATTGTCTAGCGAGAATTTTATACATCGTCAGCTACCCAATGACGAGTTTAATGTTGCAAATAGAACGGAAGTGCGGCAGTGGCAAAATTCATCATTTGACAAGAAACTACGAGTATTTCATTATCGGACACAAGGAGTCTTATGGACCCCCCTCCCCTTTCCTTTCAATATTTTGCTGGTTACAAGTGTCTAATCTGTTCTGCGCTCGGTGCTAGCTTTGTATTTGGATTCTTTCTTACTGATGTTATTGTTTTGGTCATTCTAATAATCAAGATCTGAAAGCAGGTACTCTACCAACCTCATTAAAAGACGATTCTACATGGAAATGTAATTAGGATTTGTATGGTTTCAAAAATACCTTTTAATTCATATCGTCACTGTTAATACCTCAAATACTTTGTTTTACTCTGATTGATTATTATTCAGTCTTTATATGAAGCTGTAGTTTGGTCGTATAAACCAATTTATGTCTGATGTCTTAGATTACCCCTTGTTGCCGACAATGTTTTTTGTGCGACGTGTCCGCACAAGGGTTAAAGAAACGTATTTTGGGGTTTTCCTTTGATGTACACTTTTCAAATAATAACTTTTTGTATTATATTTGGACGACTTTATGAACTCATTTTAATATTATTATTAACATCTATATTTAGATAAAAGCCTATTTGTCGTTTGAGTGTGATATTCATTAGAATAAATTATTTGAAGTATTATATTTTGTTTTAAGTTTTAATTTAAACTAGGTTATCAATTGACCCTTTTTAACGTATTATGGTGGGATGAAAAACTAAGGCCCACCATGGTACATGTGTTCAAGTCCAGTATGAACTTGGGTTATGGATGTGGTTAACTGCTGTTGTAGCCTATTATAGACCTTAAACTGATATTTCATCAGCGTTAAACCAATATTCTCATACAGACAGTTTCTGTCATACAGCAGCGGGGCAGAGTAATATGATTTATATTTAGGGAAAATGTTACATGCGTGGGTCAAATAAAAGTGAAACGAATTGCTTGATAAACACGAGATAACCCTCGGTGAAACGTCGCCAGAAAAAAATCTTAACATGTATTCCATATAATGTGTTATATTGTATTTCACCGTCAACATGGTAATATAGAACCTTGTAGGCAAACAAAGATAGCTGAAAAAAGAATTATTCCAAAAGTTTCTTTGAAGGGATAAACACTTTTGGGGTATGGGATGCTTGGTATCTCTGCCACCAGTGATCAATTTCTGGCTGACCACGAGCCATGTTCATGTTCATGAACATGTTCAAAACAAACGCCAAGGTTCTGCGATCTGACCTGAAAGCTGTGCGAACGCGGTGAGGTCGCGAAGATAGCGAGACGAGCGTGGTAACATCTCCATGAACGTAGTACACGCGCAGTACACACGTGGCAACGACGCTGCGAAAATGGTAACATTTGCAACGCGTCTGCTAAATCCTACTCAAAGATTACATGATTTTCTTGTGGTGACTTGCATGATCATCTTGAAATTTCCAAAAATCTGACCAGCTTATATACTCGCCGTGATCACATGGTAGAAACACACGTGCAATCGCGATACACGTAGAACCCCATGAGCGTGGTTAGAACGCCACGAGTTCGCCGTTGATCGCCGTTGCCAAACCAATAGATCTCAATAGAAACGCCATAAGCGAGGGGAGGTCCTAACGGGCGCGCGGTGAGAACGCGGTATAATCGCACTTTTTTCAAGTTTGTAATTTTTGGGACATTTTCTCGCGTTGTGTTCACGTTTGCCGGCGACTATGTGCATTTTCAGGTCGCAGGAAGACGCCACCCCGGTCTGACGGGGAAATAAGTAAGCGTCATTATAATTTTCGCTGTACTTGTTCTTGAATCTGCCACCTTGTCTTTTTCTAGCAAACTTGGATCACCACAGAGGACAGGTTCTCCGTCTTCGGATCGTAGCTTGCCAATATCAGCGAATTAATCATCGACCGCAGGCCCAATGTCTACCCTATAGGTCAATTTCCAGTCGGTCTAATGTATCTGTAAGAGCCATTTATTTCTACAGGCCTGTTTCTACATATAGCATTCAAAAATTCAAATCCTAAGAATATAAACGCGACTAATACACACAATAATATTGATTATCACAGTACAATGTTACACTATATATATATCACAAAACATCAATCATGAGATAAGGTTAATCATTTACTAATTATACAAATCCTTTTAAGAGGTAGGAGTTATATTTTCTTTAATCTAAATATAATTATCCTGGTTAGAGGGGTATGGACAATTAAAATATTTAAAGAAAATATTACTAAAGAACATAATATAATACATGTTTAATAAATGAAGATATAAACATATTTAATTTACTGATGCTTTTATGTAGCAGATCTGCATAGTTCCTCGCGAGACATATAACTTTAATTTATATATTATAGAAAATAAGTTTGTATTAAGATGTAATGGAAATTAAGAGAGCCTATGTCAATTGGAACACTGACACCTTTTATTTCCTCAAACAGTTCAATGGTCGGTAGATTTAATCTAAGAAGATGTAATTTTTGAAACCAATTGTTCTTCACATCAAAACATTCTATTATACATGTAGATTCATTCCAAATTCACGAGTTCATTAAGCGCTACTCTTTGTGATGGTAAATTATCATCGAAACAATTGGTAGATAATTATAACACTTGTTGACATAAATGTCCCCTGTGTATAACAGTATGAGTTATGATATCAAATACAATGTAATAGTCGTTAGTTAACAAAAAAGCATTTCTGAGTTCGGGGATATTTTGCATAATCCAAGAAGCAGCGATGATACCTTTTGGAACATGTCTCCATATGTTATCGGTACTGTTATCATTGAGGTCATACGTATTTATGATCAGCCAGGCACCAAAACTTGGTGTAGATACTTCAATGACTTTGTCATAGCTGAAAACATAGACTCCATCACCGTTTCTGTTTGATAAAAGAGCCCACACCCGACTTCCGTTAATCAACTCTACCAAATGTTTTCCCCATGTTCCTGGACTGGTACATGTACTGCTGTGCAGATTACAGGTGGTCCAACCGTTACCTAAAATAGTTACATCAAAATAAGTCGCGTACCACAAAACCAAATAAGCCCCTTCCGTAAAGATACACCGCTATCAAGATTGATACTTTTCTGTCCTCGGCTTAAAACCTAGAATCAGTCTGGGCGTGAGACGTTTCGTGATTCTACTCCCATTAAAAGGCCGTTTTCTTACCGAATAACTCATACGGCCGTGTGGCCAAGTGGTGTAACGTGTATGCTTTATTTAATAAGGCCAGATTTTGTTTTAAAATTGATCAAGCCATCTTTATTAAATTAAACTCGGATTAAATTATGAGATAAGAGTTTATTTTTAAGATTAAAATTATTATATTTTATTTTCAAAAAAGGCTTTTTTTTCAATATACATTCACTTTTAACCCCTTTAGCCGATTGTACAATCACCTGTTTCTTCCCACTCTGTGCTTATTTTAGTTTAAAAAGATGACCATGTTTGATAAGCCCCCCCCCTCCCACGCGCCCCCATCTCTCTTGAAATAGAGTATACTTACCATCTTCGATCAAACTGATTGAGGCATCTTGAGTTTCCATTACAGCAACGTTAGACATAGTCATTTGTCTACCCATGCTTAATACCGGCACCGTACCAAGGTACGATATATTGGTTTGAGATAAGCTGGAATCAAACTTCACATTATAGACATTAAGACCCCAACCAGCAATTATCCTTGATTCCAAGACTTGAAATGAATCGGCTGCTGTAACACCAAATGATGGTTGACAGGTCTGAAACATAAAGAACACTCTCTAATGCCAAATCATTTCTTTGGGGTTGTTTTGAAATTGGTGCAAGAACAAGTCAAAGTCATCACTGAAATTTGATAGATTGTCCAACTGACTGAACGTGAAGCGTCTGTTAACATTGAATGGTTTACGCCCATTACTAACGTAGTTACTTCCCTTGATTTACGAAAAATCGTTAACACTCCAGAAGACACATTCATTATGGGATATTTTTGAAATTGTATTAGCTCATTGAAAGATGACACTTAAATAACCACATTATTATGTTGTCAATAAGTTCATCCGTTGATGAACAAAGCAATGCACTGAAATGAAAACATCTAATCTATTGATTTTGAAAACAGTTCGACAATTACGCCCCGATTTAACATTCTTGGTTCAAGAAACCTTTTTAGATCTCATAGATTGGGTAGCTTAATCAAAGCAAGACACCTATTGACCGTTTTCCGAAAAATACCCTTGGAGTTATTCGCCTTGATTTTCAAACCTTGATTTAGAAAATAATAGTAATAATCCAGTTCTCACAATTATTATCAAATATGTATAAATCAGGTTGTTCAACTTTATAAGATAAAGACAACTATTGATTATGAAAAATTTCTGATAATTACTCCCCGATGTATTGCCAGATATATCAGTTAATCGTTTATAAATTTAATAGATCTGCGTCCTTATTGTGAGCAAATATCTATTGATTTACGAAATGTTAGTAACAATCTAGAGGTTCCATTTATCGCCACATAGTGTTTGTATATTGTCGTGTTCATGTCTGTCGGCTTGTCGTTTATAATTGATGTTACCTTATGGAATGATTACCCTAGATTACGACACGTTCTTAGCATTCTGAAAGTTAAAATATTGATGTGATTTTCTTGACATTCTTATAGTAAGGGCATAATATAGATTATTTGGAAAAGAAAACCAATGCTAAGAATTATAAGCACCCTTGTTGAGACACTCTTCAGTTATAGGACAGATATCACTAGCAGTGTTCTTGGTATAATCCTGTTATTCAGATATTACATTCTGCAAAGATCTAGCGTTTATTAATCCAAAAGGTGTGGTAAAACGGAACGCTGTATCTTTAATTTTAGTTTCAATCTGAATAATGTTGAATAACCTTTCCCGATGTTTTTGAATGAGTTTATTAAACTAAATGACTGTCAATTCGTAACTATTGCGTGACACCATCGAGTTGGTAACCCTTTCTAAAAAAAAATTATTTCACTTCTAAAATGATGATTTTTAGTTGTTTATGATGAGGACTATTCAATTAACATTTAGAATGTTGGTTCAAGCAATCAAAATACCGTTATGATGTTTTGTGGTTCTTTAAACTTAATGTAGTATAACTTACCTTCTCCCAATACTCCGACTGTTCATCAGCTATTAAAGTGTTCGGATCTAACGGTATGTCATCCAAGACTTCGCATCGCTTGTTAGCTATAAAATTTATTGCTCTACACAGTGGATTGCTGTGGCATAACCGACAACATTCTATGGCACTTTCAACAGACTCCTTAGCAATCGGGCTGCGATTAAACTTGGCATTCATTTTGATGATTTGGGAGAAAATCTGCTCTGATTCATCTCTGGCTTCACAGATAAAACTCAACATCAAAATCAAATTTAAAAATTCAAGCAAAAACATCGTCATACAATGAAGTCAAACGAGAATGTCACATGAATTATTTTCCAGCTCATCAAAAAATGAATTATTTTCCAGCTCATCAAAAAATAAATTGCTTTTGAATTTTAAAAGCCAGACGCGCATCAACTGCAGTGATGTCCCAACGATATGAATCTGTTATATATTAGAAACTTATATGGAACTTTTTTTTCTCTAATTGCAACATGAAATCAAAGCCACGGTTGCTTAGCATTAATTAAATTTGTTAATTTTCGGTTTTATTGATTTTAAGTCAATAAATGTTTGTGTTGTGATGAATGTCATGGGTACCATTCCATCCGTTAAGAAATGAGGCCATAATTAGACATCCTTAACCTTATTTATGTCCGCTGTAAACTACAGTTCCTTTATAGAACACATTACTTTTCATTTATATTTTAAGCGATGTTTGTCCAATTCGTAGTGGTTACTACAATATACAAGTCGACAAATTGAATGCAAATGTTTTACTTATTGTCTTTTTGTTGATATAACTCGCGAAATCTTAATTAGCCCGAGAAATGGTTTTAACAGATTTTAAAGCACGGAAAAAAACACAAAGAAATGGAATTTGTTTAAAATATAAATCTGTCTTGGCAAAGAATGTATGAGATAAAGAAAAAAGGCTTGAAATCCACCGACAGAAATATGCCACGAAACTTAATAAATATATTAATCGAGATACACTGATATATTCTCGAACGATTCGATTGATTCCATTACAATATTACTAATAGCTGTTTAATAATGAAATTCTTTGAAAAGCTATTTTGTGTATTGCTGAATCTGTACATGGTATGTCATTATGCATATTTGTATATTTTGTGAACTTTTTTTTAAAGAAATAAACCTTTAAAAGACGTACGTACCTGAACTGTTTGCAGAATTGAATTGCTACGAGACCAATTTGCAAACCAGCTTGATGCTAATATTTGCATCTGGGGTCCTGCTAATTGGAAATACATCAGCCTGAACGTCATCCGGTAGCTTTATTTGGTAGTTCATGGCCATCTTCAAACAAGCAAACGTTACGATAACACTAGCACAACCGATCAGATTCATAAAAAGATTGCCCTTAAAACATTAAAACTTGACTGAAGAGCAGCTTGGTTGCTGATAACATGTATCCTAGATTTATTAAACTAAACTAACTTCTGCATGATCAGAAAGATGGCGTGTGGTGTAAATTGGCTGACGAAGTACTGCTTAGTATGAGTGAATTTACGCGGCGGATTTTTATGTTTTAAACGTTAAAAAAAACAAAAAACAATTTCATGTTTATAACATCCTAATAAATAGTCCCTTTTATCAGATTTTCGGCCAAACGACGATGCGTGAACAGCATAGACTGCCACACATACGCCAAATCTTTATGCTTGCTATCGAGAAAGGCGGGCGTTGAACCAATTATATCACTCCTTGTTTTCATAAAAAAAATAATTTTTCGCTTACAAAAACTTTTTTGCGTTTGTTACAGTGGGGATTATTTCTGAATATATATTTAAAATTTATGGAAACCTTGCTGAAAATGGTTGACCTTCCCCTGTAAAACTAAGAATTAGGAACACTGAATAAAGATCAGTTTGGTCTTCCATAAAAATCATTTTATAATTCTTTGACACACTCTTTATAATATTAGCAGTATGCCTAAATTCTGGATTGTTGCCATTTTAGTCTCATTTCATGCTCCCCCATCAATTAAACTAACGGTAAGTTGGTCCTTTTTTCGTAGACGGTCTTCCATAAATGGGAAAACGCGCAAACCCTGATAAAGCTCAAGTTGTAGAGCTAATAATATCTGGTGCACTATATAATTGAACCCTGCACTATTGGGATTACGCGGACGGGGGGTGGGGGGTGGGGGGTGGGGGTGTACATCTCAACCCCTTCGCCAATGTTTGGCAAATGATCCAAAATATTATGCACTACTCATCCCATCCTTGCCGCCCCCCTCCCCCCGCACACACACACCCCTACCCTCTACCCTCCCATCTCCCAAGTCTACTTTAGCCGCCTACGTCGATATTGATCGAATAACAAATCAAAACGCTATTTTCTCCTGATTCCAAAAGACTTTTATTCGGTTCTTTGAAGCATATAACTATTTGCCATGAGGTAAAATTAATTATTTTGATTATATTATTATTTAGTGTTTTTATTTTGCTATATTGATTGGTATCATTGTGAATAGCCACCTTACTTTATTAACCATTTGCCAATAGCGATACGACTCTAATAATTCCAAAACACATTTTCAGATTTTGGTTAAAGCAAATAACAATGTCTCCTGGGACATATTTTAATTAAACATGGAATCCAATCTAATATTATTTACATAGTTTCTAGATCTATATATTCCAATCCATTGGAACCAATGTTTATTATGACTTCCCATGTTACACATCTTGTGAACTAGAAACTTTTGAATTTTATGTGTTGCAATAGGATTTTTATTAACACTTATCAAACTGATTCATTGGATTCAAAATTATTTTCTCATTTTATGCAATGGACGTTTTTAATTACCGAAGTTTTCCGTTACAGTTTTAACTTACAAAACGAATTATCAGCAATATTTGAAAATTTAAAAGCTGCAAATTTCTAAGAAAGATACGTTCTGGAGTTTGTGATTTTGTAAACATCTCAGGCGATTTATATCGCAGAACTGGAGAATGGTCGGTTTTGTACAGTTCATATATACACCTTTATCATTTGATGATTGTAATAAAGATTAATTTGTAATTGTAATCTATTTGTAAAGCATCAAAAATTAACATTAACTGTATAACAAAATGATTTTCTTCATTATGAATTTAATTTTGTTTTATATTCTTGAATCCAATGGTCAATTAACTACACATCACATTTTTTCCCAAATTGTCAAAAAGAACGTCAGGTTTTTTGACATCCCGACTGCCGAACAGTTTGTTAGAAGTGTTATTGATTGTGCTCGTTTGTGTCAAAAAAGTCAAGATTGTAAATCAGTGAATCTTATACGAATGGGAAAGAAGAAGATGTGTCAATTGTTCAAAACCAAACCATTAGACCCAAGAACTCTAGATCATGACATCAACTCTCAGTACTGGGAAAGGGTAAGTAAAGATAGGTCAAGTAGTTTAACAATTAAATTCGAAAACCATCGTTCAAATAAGAAAGACACTTGAAAAACAATGCGTTTTTGATTTTTCTGCCATCTACATTACGTTATTATCACCTCTACAAAGAGCAGAACGAAAGCTATATTTATACTTGTAATTTTCGTCTAGAGCAGTATGGTATAATTTATCTGATTTACATAATATAAATGAAATGAGGTTTAACGTCCTACTGTTCTGCTCCGAGCTGGGCTAAGACGGACATGGGCCATACAGTGTGCGCTATGAGGGAAATTCTGCCCGGTCAGCGGCTCTACGGCCTACTCTTATATTGAATTCCAACTTTTACTTTTACGTGCACGCCAATGTGTAACAGGACCTCCGAACGACTAGTCAGCTGTCCTTGTCATGTCAGGGCCCCCGTCCTGCATCACTAACAAGGGGGGAAAGCACGCCGGAAAATCTGGATGAACTTTCTCGGCCAATGGAGGGATCGAACAACGGACCTCCAGGCTAGCGAGCCAGCATCTTACCTACTTACCCACCGTGACCCCCACCTCACCCCTTTACATAATATACTATTCAAAAAAAGTAGGGGATATTTGATTTTGGGGGCATAATACTAAAATATGCAAATGACTTCGAAAAAAGTCACTATAGAACCTAACAGAAGAAACATTTCCAGTTACATGTGAGGCCCAAACGCACCAATAGCTACCGCATGGAATGCAGGTGATGCTTGGGATCATCATGGGGGTCCAACCCAAGATTTGCACGACTCTGACTTTGAATGTTACAGTCATTGTGGCATTGAATTCCAGGGTGGAAACATCAGTTTAATTGTTTTAGTGACCAGAAAACAAATTTTGATATGCGTCGGCTTACCCAAAATGAAAGGTTACGTGCCCTTGGCATGCTACAGATCGGCACAACACAGGCGGTTGTGGCGCGGACGATGAATGTTTCTCAGTCTGTCATAAGCAGGCTATGGTCCAGATACCGTGATACACAATCTGTACAGGACAGACCACGCCCAGGTCGACCAAGGGCGACAACTCAAGCCCAGGATCGATTTATCCGTACCTTGTCATCACAGCAAATCAGATCAGCGCTCGTCTTCAAACAGACACTGGTGTGAGAGTGAGTGGCCAGACGATTCGGAATCGACTGCATAGGGGTCACCTTCGCGCCCGACGTCCTCGCGTGATCCCTTGTTTGAGAGATCATCACATTCAGGCAAGACGTCGTTGGTGTAGGGATCGTCAACACTGGGATAATCGACGCTGGAGCAATGTGATGTTTTCAGATGAGTCAAGGTTCACTGTTGATTTTTTGGACAGACGTAGGAGGGTGTGGCGTCGTCGAAACGAGCGCTTCCAAGACGTTAACGTCATCAGACATGATCGATTTGGGGGTGGTTCTGTTATGGTGTGGGGAGGCATCACTGTTGCTGGAAGAACGGCTTTACATGTTGTTGCAGGGCGTGTTACAGGCCAGTACTACCGGGACAACATCTTGGCAGTCCATGTTGTGCCGTTCGCACGACGTCATGGCCGCCGTTTCATCTTCCAGGATGACAACGCAAGATGTCACAGGGCCAGGATCGTTACAGGTTACCTCCAACAACAGAACATCACCACATTACCTTGGCCAGCATTGAGTCCCGACCTCTCCCCCATCGAGCATGTCTGGGACATGCTTGGACAGAGGTTACGTCAACGTCAACAACGTCCTGCCAATGTCCAAGAACTTGCTGCTGCGTTGCAACAGGAATGGGACAATCTGGACCAAAATGACCTTAGACGTCTCATTAGGAGTATGCCACGTCGGATCAATGCTTGTTTGGCAAACAGAGGAGGATTTACCCGTTACTGACTTGGTTGTGATGCTGTGGTAACTTTGCTGTTTGACCCCGGGTATCATTTTACCCTTATAATGGTCAGTCTGTGCCTTACTTAGTCTAACGATCATTTGGAATAAATCGATGAATGTGAACTTCATTTCATTTTGTCATTTGTTTCTTCGTCAGTTTCATTAGGTGACTTTAATAACACTTAAAAATCAAATATCCCCTACTTTTTTTGAATAGTATATAATTTCCTTACTACGGTCAATTATATTGGGCTCTAACATACTCTTTAAAAGGACAATATTGGTGCCAGTCATTATCACATATGTGATAGAACTGGTTAAACACGTTCCAAATATTATTTTTTCAAAACTGGCTGAAGTGACGGGTGATAACAGATACATGGGCGAATTTCTGCTCACTAATAATTCCTTCGAAGACCAAAAGTTGTTGTATGAGACTGTGAAAGGATATCTGACAATTCATAAACAAAATTGACTGTCACTAGATAAGAGAACATGAAAGAAAAATAGAAAAAGTCCGTGCATTACCATGTTTTTATAAGTATAGAATGAATAAACACCCGTGAATGTACGGACTGTTTCTATTTTTCTCGTGTTCTCTTATCTAATGACATTCAATTACTTTTTTGAATTGTCAGATATACTCTTACAGTCTCATATAACAACTTTTGATCTTCGAACGAATTTTTAGTGAGTAGAAATTCGCCCATGTATCTGTTATCACGCGTCACTTCAGCCAGTTTTATAGAGGGATGACTCGTGTTTTCCTTTTGCGTTCGTCACTTCCTATTGTTAAAACATTGATTACTCATCTATCGTAGCAATGATCTCTGTGAAAAAATAATATTTGGAACGTCTTTAACCAGTTCTATAACATATGTGATAATGACTGGCACCAATATTGTCCTTTAAGTTCCCAAACAGAAAGCGAAAACCCGTGAACCCCTTTTTCAAGGCAATTTTCGAAGTGCCACAGTTTGTGGGAATTGGCAAGAAATGGCTGATAGGTATTTATGATGATAAGTTCTCTTTCGAGTAACTGATTTTCACAATGAGAAAATAATGAAACATTGGGTGAGTGACGTCCTTGTCTCTATGAACTAATCTTCAACTGGGGTGTGTTTTTGTTGCATATTGTTTATGTCTCGATAAGTATAATCATATAAAATGTTATTTTCAGACATGCCAGCCATCGTTTGCTATAACGGCAGCTACATCAGATAATATTACCTTACAAATAAAGATAGTTGCAGATTTTGGCCGAAACATATACCATCTAAACTTTAACGACGATTTTACACAAAACAACCTTCATTTCAATGATTCAGTTCTTAAAGCAACCAATGGTAAACATTTGATGATCTCCAACGCTGTTACTATGAAATCTCAACATTCTCCTTCTATCAGTCTTAAAGAAAATGGTAAGAAAACCTTCCTGAAACCCTTCTTTGTGGTTTAGTTCTTACATGTCATATCTATAACTTTTATCTATTCTTATTCTTTTTTTTTCTTCTTTTTTTGCGGGGCTGTAGGGGACGGGGTATTTTGATATGTGTTTGTATCACAACCTTTTATTGGACAAAGTTATTATTCCCGTGTCTGTGGTAAAAGGAGATAACGTACCTAAAAGTATGGGAATTTCAGACTATTCTAGCAACGACTAGATGTTGTAAAACTCGCGGTCGTTGCTTCAGGAACATGGTCATCTTTTATCATCCACGCGTCGCCATTCTTCAGTGTCAGCGAATCAGTGAGCCTATCCGACAAGGGTCTCGGCCTATAAACGACAAAACATCGGCTCAAATTATGGATGAAATGAACATAATTTTTCAAAGAGTGTGCAACTTGATCCCGGTATAATTGATATGGTAATTATTGTTTTAGGCACTGGTTGGACATTTTGTGATATTGACACAACACCTTGTACAGTTCCAGGATCCTGGCCCAAACATTTTGAAGAACTGACAGGTGGATTCTCTACTTGGGCTCTTACTAGCAACAGAGATGGCGATGGTTTCTATGTTTTCAGTAATGAGAGAGTTATAGAAATATCTACACCAATAGGCCCTGAGTGGGAAGTAGTTGAAACATATAATATTAATGAAAATGTTGCTGATAATCTGTGGAGAAATATTCCACGTGGTATAATCGCTGCTTCTTGGATTCCACAATATGGCCCTGAAAGAAAGGTGTTCTTAGCAACTCGCGACTACTACGTTGTTTTTGATATCACATCTAACGCAGTATTGCAACGGGATCATTTATGTAGTCCTTAAAGGGCGTATGACTCTATTTTTGGAACATTAACACAGACAAAAATGGGACCTAAAAGCACATATTAATGTAACATGGATGAATGTATAGAAAGTGATTTGTATTCAGTTCTTTAAAGAACATTATTGTAATTTTTTAATCAATGTATAATAATATACATGATATTAAAACATCATGTATATTATCTAGAGAATAGCTGAGTTTTTTTGGGTTTTTTTTACTTATTTTACTTGTTGATATTTTTTGATATCAAAAAAGACGAGTAGGAGATTTTATTTATCACCCAATCCCTTCTACATGCACAAATAAATAAATATAATTCTTTGCTGTAGATTTCAATTTTACTGAACATTACGACGTAGTGATACATCATTTTTTGACAGCAATTCAACCATAGCAAAGTCCTTTATATTGACCCAGTGTTTCCATCAAAGTCAATTACATAAAAATAGTTCCTTTTTAATAAGAAAGAAGTTACTATTAATAAAAAAAATGAACTGTTCTTTGAAAATAAAAAAAAAGTATGTCCTTTTTGATTGACCAATCAAATTCATGTAAAGCGATATCTACTGTAAAATGTATTATTGGGTGATAATATAGTTTAACTACTCATAAGGATAGATCTATATTTTTTGCAGAGATATTGTTCAGTCATCGAATTGCTCAATGTTTTTTTAGGGAGTTATTTCCAAACTTTATGTTAATGTTTGACTATAGTTATACGAATGAACTTATTAACATTAAAAGATATTGCAGTGGTCATCAAAACCTTGCATTCGCATTACATGTAGGAGTTAATTAGATTTTATTTAAACCTTTCGAAATAAATTGCCGCGCCCGAATTTGTGGTTATTGCGTTATCGTCATTATAGTCCTGTAATTCACTCTCTGGATTTGTTTCCATTCGTTATAAGTCTAAACGCCTTTATCGCCAATAATATCTGCAGTTATTACCTTTGTCATCTAAACCTTGTATTTAGCTTTTCTTGTTGAGATTGTGGAGAACATATTTTTCTTAATCTCAGAAATATTATATTGCTGGCAAGTTTTACGACTAAGCTGCTTTGAAAATATGTTTCATTGAATGTTAATGTTAATAACTGTCAATGGTTATTTGTGGCCCATATCTGGACCCGAATACATTCAATGTCCTTAGCTACAAGCATAAACAGAATAACAAGTGAATTGCTTACTGCTATTTAGGGGCGGTCCTGCCACTAGGGCCTCCACCTAGATCCACCACTGACAACTTACAGTGGTTCTCAACCAGTGTGCCGCGGCACACCTGTCTTCCTAAGTGTGCCGCGTCATTTTGAACGACACACTAAGAAAATGTGAAAAACCACTTGATTCCAAATTGAGTATTCACTGGTGTCTACTGATAAGTTCATAGCGGTGTTTTTCTTTATTTATTTTGAGTCATTCTATGTTTCTATGACTAGTCTGTGTTTACGGTTGTATGCCGTCTATGACTTGCCATGTTTTTATTTTGCATAATTCAAATATTTTTCATATATATATATTTAGCCAGGTGTGCCGCTAATTTTTCAGGTGTTCCAAGGTGTGCTGTTGCCAAAATAAGGTTGAGAACCACTGTTCTATAATGATAGAAGTCGTATTATCTAATGCACAATAATGAAATGTCCTCTTGTGAACTCCGTAGTTATAGACCAATTCTATTCGATTATTCTAACAATTGCAAGCAAATCTCAATTCGTGTATTTTATGATTGTATGACCAGTGTTCTCTTTATGCCTGTATATTCTGAACCTGGTGTAGAAAAAAAAATAATTATATCCTTGAATCATTTCAATTAACTCCAAACGAACCATTATATATAGCCTTAACCGATTGAAATCAATGTTTTATTATCTCTCCATTCTTGTGCTTAAATTAATAATATTAGCGTTAATTGACTGTACATTTACGTAGGTATTTCCCCTGGAGATTAATTATGTTCAACTTCAAACTTCAAACCCCATTTTTAACGGCTATTAGTATTACGTTGACAAATAAAATTAGACCAAACATGATTAGTGGGCTTACAATAAAAATAACAGAAAGGAAATCCTACCCCGTTAACCCCACAATTTGACACTATTGTTAGTATGGATGATTGCTCACAATTGATTCCCTTGTTTTTATTCATTCTATACTTAATAAACACATACTAATGCACCGATTTTTCTCGTTTTCTCTTATCTAGTGACAGTCAATTATTTTTTTTGAATTATGAAATATTCTTCCACAATCTCATATACCAACTTTTGGTCTTCGAAAGAATTATTATTGAGCAGAAATTCGCCAGTGTATCTGTTATTACTCGTCACTTCAGTCAGTTATATAGAAGGGTAACTCGTGTTTTCCTTTTACGTTCGTCAATTTTCTTTCTTGAAATCTTCATAACGCATATACCATAGCAATGATCTCTGTGTTAAAATTATGTTTCGAACGTGTTTTACCAGGTCTATCACATGTGTGATAATGACTGACAACAATATTGCCCCTTAAGACACTATTTTATAAATCTTCCTCACATCATACCACTTTTGTGTCGACAAGATTTCTACAATTCCGCTACATACTTTAGTACTCACGGCCTCCGTTTATATGTTTTAATAGCCAATTAAACTCTTACAGAAAGTACAGAAAAAATAACATACAACAATGATGCTCAGCTTGCATGGAGCAATTATTATTTTAGATTACAAAGACCTCATAGATACGATTCACATTTATGCTTTCTTTAGCAATTTATGAATAGACTCTTTTATCTCAAAATATTTCACTGTCCTTTGTTGACTGTTAAAATGCGTATAATAAATGTTATTCGCTTTAAAGATACGTTTCCGAGAACGTATTCATCGATTTCCAATAAAGAGAGAGGGAGAGAGAAGTGGTGTTTAACGTCCACTCGACACAAACTAGGTCATTTCGGGAATAATATATGGTTCAATTTTAATTCAATAATACGCTTCCGCGTATGGGCCTTTAGCAGTGGGAGGAAAACGGAGGACCCGGAGAAAACCCACGAGGTTGGACAGGCGACCCTACTCCTTGTCACGTACAACCGGGGAATCGAAACCACGCCAGTTTACTCAATGACAGACCTTGTGATACAGCGCGCACGTGCTAACCATTTGGCCATCCACCCCCCCCCCCCCCTTATTTCCAATAAAAGTAGGGCATATATATGATACTCTAACTAGAACTACAACTGATTTCCAGAAAAACAACAATGTGTGGCCACGAGTGACGTAAGGGGTGGTGCTTATGTGTTGATCAATGGCTAACGGTTATGAGAACATTAGGCGACTTAAACGTCTAGTAAACGGTGGAATTTACGTAGGCTTCAGTATTTATGGTAAATGGAAAGCGACTAACGAAAAATACAATCTTGTACTGGATTCTCCCTCTATCAAGTCACGTGATACACACGGCTGGTAGAAATAGATTCTAACTTAATGTGGAAGTTTTCTTACGATTTTTTTAAAAAAATGGTTGAGAGGGATTTCAAGGGTTTTTTTTATCAATCACACAATGTGTACGCTGACAGGCATCTTTATAACGAGTATGTTCTATCACACATCAGAACGTGTTCACTCAGTGTGTACGCTGACAGACATCTTTACAACGAGTATATTCTATCAGAACCTGTTCACTCTCATTTTTTCACCGGGCCATTCTACTTGCTAATGGCTAGGTCCCACTTGGGAAAAATGGCGATGGGGAAATAAACAAATTTTCTCCCGATGTCACTTATTAGGCATCGGGAATGGTCTGGTGAAAGTTCATTGATGATTCAGCTATGGCACAAAGCTTCTCGGAATGTCCCCCGAACAATTGCAGTGAATCATCGGGGATGGCTCCCAAGAACCTTGAAAGCTCAGTGGTACCTCGCCGATGATCACCATTAACAGAAGTGTATTTACATTATTAAAAACAAGATTGATTCAAGTTAATATGATACTATTTTATTATCATTTCTACTCATAAGGGTTTTGTTTTTGTTTTTTTGGACAAATTTCTCAAATACGAGTGCATAACAATAAATCAATACCATGTTAAATACACAGAAATATGTTTAATTGTCATGTTAATGTGTTTGCCTATACAAGATTACGGAATACTTAGAAAAAATAATACCCTTTGAACTGATTTTTAATCGTTAACTTTTTACAAATACAATACATATAACAGCATGTTAAAAACACATGAAGATATCTATACTTCTTTGTTAATGTGGTTGTGTTAAGTAATAAATACGCTATGGGAATACTTAGAGAAAATGTGCGAGCGAAGCTGGGGTCACCGCCACCACCTCATATCAAACATGGAATTCGGTCAATCGATGCGCAATTGTACAAGGAATCAGCATGGCAAGTTCATTGTCGGCCGTACTTGATTTGACAGAGACATAGGCTTTTGCGCAATTGTACAAGGAATCAGCATGGCAAGTTCATTTTCGGTCGTACTTGAATTGGCGGAGACTTCGGCTTTTTGTCGAAGAGCGTCTAAGCCCAAGCACAAGAAGAACAAGAACAATAAGAAGATGAGTAGCTCTTGGGGCCCAGTTCCTGGTCCCGAAAAATGTTCCCCTTTTTACAAATACAATATCATACAACACCATGTTAAATACACATAAATATGTCCACTTGTGATATTAATGTGTTTACCTATAGGTAATATACAAGTTTTTGGACTATTTAGCTGTTAATATTTTTTCTTTTAAACTAACAAATGTTTCAAAATAAGATACAGTTATTATAATAACACTTGCTTTTGTAAATCTTAGTTCTATTTTTCTCATTTTTGGCAGATAAAATGTTATCCAGAGAGTCCGCTTCATTTGGTAAAAACTGGCCAGATGATCTAGTGTATCATCAGTAACGGCAAATATAAATCAACATTTTCCCCCGCAAACTAATCGCCCAACAAGATCCATTAAACAGTTTTAGAGGTGAGTGACATCCAATTTTTAACAGAACTGGATTCTACACTAATTGATCCCGTTTTATTATTGTTTTAGTTACTGTATCAAAAATAGCGTAATAAGTGTTGGTTGCTAGGAACGCTTTGGTTGCAGGCGAACTAGATTTAGGGTGAATCCAAGCTGCTGCGATAACACCCTTTGGGGCATTTCTCCATAAGTTATCCGTGCTCTCGTCATCAAGATGAAATATAGAGTCTAGAGTAAGCGTGGCAGGTCTCATAAGCGAAAATTCCATAACTTTATCATACGTAAACGCATAAAATCCATCAGTACCAAGTTTAGCGATAAAGGCTTGAGCAGGATCAGGACCAAATATGGCGCTGGTGGCTTTTGGAAAACCAGTAAGAGGAGTTGCGCTGTACATAGCTAATAGATTATCCATATCTAAAATATACGAAAGAAAAATTAACCATCTTAAAGCTTTATTAATTTATTTTTCAGCAAAAGAATAATAAAACCACCAAAACAATAACAACATCAATTTGTATTCTATTTATCGAGAATATATAATGTAATAACCAGTGCTACTGACCGTATTACATTAATATAACTTATCGGTTCTTTCTATAGAACACTATATACCCTTTCTAGGATGCGGTCGCATCGATGTCATCCTTATCAGTGATTGTAGCGGCCTAGCGAAAATTCACAGCTGATCAGTGTGGTACGAGCGTCCTATGGAACAGGAACGAGCATGGTATTATGGCAGGCATCTTGTATGCGCCATTATCTACCCTGTCCATGCGCTGTTTGCGCACACCCAATTCATATGGTCCCAAATAGTGTCTTTAGACCTTTCGTATTGAGTAGCCCCCAAGAAAACCCGCTCGCATGTAAAACATTTATTCATGTATGCAAATTTTGCATATGTGTGTATAGTAAATTTATTATGCGTGTGTACTGTATACCAAGTGGTACTTTGAAATGTTATCCCAAATATGCCCTTCCGGTCATGGACTTTCATAATGAACAGCCTTTCTATCATATACAGTGGGAGATAAATCTTGGGCAAATGGCTGTCATGTATAAAGAAAAAATCGGTCTGGACCATAACCTTTCTGCACCAAGAGACTATCTAGCCTACTTCATACTTCGAAAATATATCGGTTCTCAAGGGAGCTAATTGTACACAGACAGCCTAAGATTAGTATGGTTAGGTGATAAGGCGAGATTCATCTTGGCGGAAGAATATGTACAACCATGGAAGTGATAATGTATTGTATACCAAATTTCACATGTACAGAAATATGCTTGATAGCATGTCTGTGGAAATCAAGGAAAACATAAAACCAGTTGCCGCGGAGAAGAAGGTTGGCAACACTGTTTGGTTTGATAGCATACATAAACATGGACGCATATAAAACACGTTTGTAAGTTTATTTTGTATTCGCGTGACGCTGATTGCATATTGTACTGATATTCACCGGTGTAAATATAACTGATGTAAAATTAGGACCTACTCCCAGTGCAAAGTTGCACGACATCATTTGCACCAATTTTTATATCACGCCATATGTAAATTTGCATGATATACATGTATATGAGTGTATGCGAACAGAGCATTAGACTACCACTCGAATAATTTCGTTGCTTACTTGATGACAAACTTGTGTTGTCTTTTTACGAAATGCCCTGAATTTAATTGGAAAGCTGTTTTCAGGCAATAGTGTTTATGCGTTTCCACTGATCACCGACAAGAGCGTTTATGGCGATATCACCCAAAGTTTTGCAAAATGTGACCGACATAATGTTATCGATATACATATTCTACACATCATATCCAAATTTCAAATGGTTCCTTAAAAGATTTACAAAATTATTGATAAGTGAAACTGACAAAATAAACACGCTCTTGTCGGTTCGTGTTTGTGATTAGGAGGGCCGTTTTTGTTACAATTTCAATAATCCATATTTTTGAAAAACTGTTTAATGAAATCATTTAAATTTTGGATATAAGGTGTAATAGGCATCTCTATCACAAGAAACGCGATTGTCGGCATTTCCGACTTGGGATATGATATTTTTATTTATATAATTCAAGCGCCTTTCCAATCTCTAGTTAAAGATACAAATTATTTCAGTCTTTATCCAACCTCTTGGTAAACATGGGCCAAGTTTGTCGCTTCGACCTATCATTCCGGAGGTAGAATTTGAATAAGGTGTTCAAATTCAACATTTTATAATGTACTTTTATAATGGCATATAAGGCAGATCGGTAATGCGATTAATGACTTTCTTGAACAGAAATCGACTTGCTGGGCTGAGAACCGCCATTGTTCTTATTTTTAAAAAAAAATATTGCCCATGGAAATGTAAATAATGATGTAATGTTTTAATGATTTAACATCAATGAAGCAATATTATATTTTAAATAAAGAATGATAATGTGTGCTAGCCATGTATTGAACATACATAGGGTGTGCCAATAGTTTCCGGCTCCTTAAAGATACATTATGGGAGACTAGATAACGAGTTGGCAGTTCTCGAAATAATAGTTAAAAACTAGATAATGTAAAGGCAATTTGCTGAAAATTTCAGTCAAATTGGTCCACTATGAACCGAGAAATAAGCGATCGAAGGTTTCGCATAGCCTCGGTCATCATTACTAAAGTCGGTACGACAAAAATCATAGTCTCGATTATCCACGTAATCGTTAAATCGAGAAGGAAAGTTATGCAGCAAATCGGATCATAATCCAACAATTATCGCAGGCTAGCGTTGACATCGAGAGTTGATTATGGTCTTGATACGTTAATTAATGTGTAATTAATAGTTTATATAACATTTCAGGCCTAAAGAAAGACCTACAATAGGCAGATTTAGCTCTTGCATAATGCATGTTTTTAAGTAAAAATGCGACCTAAATGAAAATCAAAATAATCCCCCTTTACATCAATGCAACTGTTCCACCGTTTCACCATCAGAAAAATATTGTTTGATACGCGACCCTTATAAAGATGCGGCCCCTGGGGGACAGATTTGAGGCGTAGGAAGAGCAGAAGCCAGAGTTTGACAGTTATATATAGAAAATTATTGCAGGTGGAAGGTTTGCACGGCAAGCACATGCTGAGATATCTTTCTGGCAATATGTGCAGATTGGCGAGACCGGAAACGTTTCAGATACCCGTCGCTGACCGACTTATTCGGTATGGTCGCCATCCTAACGTTGTTGGGTTTGCTACCACTACGAGCGATCTATTGAAAAAGCAACCTCCTATGAACAAAAAACCCAACCACTTCAAATTTTAAAAAAATAATTCGACAACACAAAAATGTTTAGCGATAAGGACTTACCTTCCATTGCAAAAGATGTCAGTTTATCCTCCAAGAGTGCGACATTTTTCAAGTTACTATAAATAGAATGAGACTTTGTTTTTGTAGTACCAGCGTCCTCAATGGAAAACAAATAATAGGAATTGTTAAATAATAACCTTTTTGCCGTTATTCCTCCTTCTACAGCTATATAGATGGCCAAAAATGTAGCGTGGAAGTCATAGTTCGCAGTAGTTAGTCCCAATAATGGCTGAGCACTCTGAAAATAAATATTCTATACTAGATGGAATATTGGAAAGCACGTGCGGGATAGTGTTTGTATTTTAAGTTGTTTAATGGTCTCGAGCTAAAGACATAGCGTAATATATTGAAACAACACTCGGCTAACGCCTCGTTAAAGGCTCAATACCACTCTTGTTGTAACTGAATAATATGTCCCAATCTTTATTCTGGTCAACAAATTGTACTATTTTACAATATTTCAATTAATTGATGATACAAATTTCATCTTAACACACCTTATTTAAAAATTTAGAAAAATTCAACATAATGGTTTGAAACGTCTAACGTAAACCTTTTTAAATGAAACTTCGATTTAAAAATATTTTCGAACCCTCTGGACAAGTAAAATAGGATGTAATGGATAATTTGCACAACAGGTAGGACACTTAAACATCTAGTACTTAGATAGAGATATTATTTATTTCCTGGAGCTTTCAAGCCAGCAAGAGTGTTATTGTCCCTTTAAGTATGAATATATATATATATATCTTAATGTCTCGCTCTCGACCATTAAACCCCACATAGCACACGTCTGCATTTGTGCTGAAAGCACGGAACTTGGCAGACCTAAACGTTTTATGTGCTGATCATTTTAATATATGGTTTTACTCCAGGAAACACCTTCATGGTGTCATTATGACGTCACAACTAACCAACATTTTAGCTGAAGTCTTTAGGAGGACCATACTGCGTGCAAATAAAATGATAGTTGATACGGAGAGAGCTAAAGTGAGTTTAATGTCCACTCGACACAGACTAGGTCATTTCGGGACTAACATATGGTTCAATTTTATTTCAATAATTCGGTTGCGCGCAGGGGTCTTTAGCAGTGGGAGAACTCCGGAGGACCCGAAGAGAAGAAGAAAAAGAAGAAGAAGAATTGTTTTATTTATGTGTCATACTTTGGTACAATAGCAATAAAAATACGATCTTAAAAAAAAAAAATATAAGTGTACAATATCCGACCGACCTACGAGACAAAATAAGCGCGCGAGAGAGAAATGGGGTTTAACGTCCACTCGACACAAACTAGGTAATTTCGGGACTAACATATGGTTTAATTTTATTTCAATAATTCGCTTGCGCGTAGGTGTCTTTAGCAGTGGGAGGAAATCGGAGGACCCGGAGAAAACCCACGAGGTTGGACAGGCGACCCTACTCCTTGTCACGTAAAACCGGGGATTCGAAACCACGCCAGTTGACTCAATGACAGGCTTAATGATACAGCACGCACGTGCTAACAATTCGGCCATCCAACCCCCCGACAAAACAAGCATAATAACTCATATACATTTGAAGATAATAAATAAATACATGTAAGTAACAAAGATAAAATTTGAAACGTACTAACAATAACATTTTATTGGACAGGCGACCAACCGGGGAATCGAAACCACGCCAGTTGACTCAATTACAGATCATACGATACAGCGCGCACGCGCTAACCGTTCTCTCCCCCCCCCCCCAACAATAATATTTTATTGGACAGGCGACCAACTGGAGAAGACAGAAAGTACGCAGACGTAATTGCAGGCGATAAACAGAAAATAGCAAATCAAGTTAATGGGTGGGGGTGGGGGATAAAAGCAGAAGAATTGAAGCTTACAATAATAATTTCTTTAAAGGCACGGTTTGATCAAATATAACATTAAGGATCATTCTGACACCCAACCTTATCAATATAATGGCAGTGTACCTTTAAGGTCTAAATGGGCGCTTTCATAAGATAAGCAAAAGTCAAAATTATAGGCTCAAAATTATGGAAGCCTATAACTACCATTCAAAATTTCTACTTTTCGCCCCTTCAAAACACAAAAGTCGAAAAGTAGAAGTTACGACAAAATGTGAGGCGACAGCACACTATACAAGCCAAAATCGACTCGAAAATAGGAAATTAAGAAATAATACACTGCGATAATAGCGCCCCTCGTTTTTTCCTTATTTCTTGTAAACACAGTAAGTTTAAGTATAAGGACATAAAGTAATAAGAGTCGACTGGCAAACTATTATTAATGAGTGTAATTTTGGAAGATAACACACATAAATCCTTAAAGGTCGAGGAGTATAAAGAATAATATCTACAAAGAATGGGGTTCTTTTATGATAATATTCATGGCATTTGTTGGTGTTATCTTTAGAATGATATACCATGAAACATATTCGTTAAAGATACATAAAATAAGTGTAGATTTTACCTTTTCTAAATACTGAGACTCGGTATCTGTTGTAAGAGTATTCAAATCCACAGGAATTCTATCCAGGATCTCACATGTCTTGGTAGATTTTAAAAAATTCACTGACTTACAGGTGTCCATATTATGGCATAGTTTAGTGCATTCTATCCTGCTTCGAGTCTTCAATACTGCCATTTGCGGAATACTAAACTTCTTGCCTTTTTCTTGGTCCAGACTTGAAAAAAATATCTCAGAAGCCGTTAATTCGTTGAAATATATTGTAAACGCCATAAATATGAAATGCCAATGTATATTTGGGTACATTTTTTCTCTTAACGTAGGTATTGTTTTCTTATTTACGAACTATTAAATAATGATATTAAATAATTTACACGGGATCGGAGAATACCAGCTGCTTTTTATCTCTGTACACCCAGAATAATAATATAATACTGGCCCCACGGGGTGAGGAATCGTAATTTATATAGCTGGGTTATTTGATCTTCTTTATTCTATTTGAAGAAAAGAAATAAAAGACCCATTATGAATATCTAGAAAATTGAGGAAGAAAACAGTATTAATGGAATAATCTTTCATCGATTACCATTTATATAAATCTAACGGAATAAAAAAAGAATTGTCTTATTTCTTTCCGTTGTTTAATAGAAAACTAAACAGATAGATTAAATGGGAGTATCCTTTATGTTAACACCTAGATCCGGTATCCTTTACAAATATAATATTTTAATATCCAATTAAACTTCACAACAAATAACGAAAAACAAGCAGTATGCAAATGTTCTAGCCAATGAATTAAGTCCAGTGTATTTCGGCATTAAGAGGCTTTTAAGCGTCTTCCTGTTTTCATCACTACGTTTAACTACGGTTAAAGTGATAAGAAAAGTAGCTTATATGAGAATCCGAAATCTACATCTCAAAATACGTTAAAATGTATTTACGAATAATTATTGAGTTGATTTTAGTTATTTATTTCAGTTTAAGAAATCGATAAACAATCTTGAATATTCATTATTTATAACATGGAAGCACTTACAAAAGTATATATTATACAAAGGATTTGTGTAAACAATGACTCGTGTGTGTTCGTTTTAAAAACATCAGAAGATATTAATTTTATCTTTTGAACAATATGAAAAACAGAAAGTTAAAAAGATATTTTTACAGTTTAAAATGTGAAAGTATAGACAATATATAGTTATATAGAAAGTTTCAGCTGGCTTTATCATTAAAAATGGAATAAGATTAATGGTTGTCCTGCCACCATTGGCATATATAGTGGGTTTGCAAGGAAATTAATTTAGTTTTAAACGGTAACCTGACAAAATAAGATTAAAACCTGCAACGTATTAACATTAAGCCGTTATTTATATAAATATAGATATAACGCCTATATATATAGACCGCTATACAAGATAAAACCGTTATTTTGTCAGCACCATATACCATGTATAGTAGAGATTGGATTTTATCTATAATACTCATAAATCACACACGAAAAACCAAAAACAAAAACTCTCTTTTATTACAACAAAAAATAAATTATCTCTAGTATAAAAGTGTGTTGAGTGATGGATACACTGTTAAATTAGCATTGTATCTTTAAATGTTACTGTGCTTAATTAAACGCAGTGGCTATTGTTACGACGAGTCGTAAAAATAGTTCTCAGGCTATTGTTACATTGATGCTTTCACAGCCCTCCATCGGCGAAGTTAAAAACCAAGAGCGACTTTGAAACTTCAGAAGAAATTAAAACGTTTAGGCTAACAAGAGAAAAATTCTGGATTGACAAATTGAAAACAACAGCCCCCCCCCCCCTAGGTTTGAATATTCATACGGCTAGCGCAATAGCTCCTTTTCTAGTTCCATTTAGCGCAACAGCAGCAAGTGCGTCCAAAATCATCAGAAAACACTTTACTGATCTCCAAGAAAATCACCCGAAAATATTCACACAGAAACTTATAATTGCATATTCTAAAAATAAAAATCTGAACGACATCCTAGTGCACAGTAAATTAGATTAAATAAGACCAGTCTCCACCCTGACCCAAAACAAACCATATATCAAATCCTATGCCTAACCGTTAGTAATTAAAATCAATTAGATATAAGAATCCCTAGCCGTAACCCGGTGATGTGGAACAAACACGATTTTTTTAGAAAATCCAATCCGTAGTAGGAAACACACTAATGTGGCTCTCTCCCGAGAGCCTCAAATTTATTTTCTTTTTTCTTCAGAAACAATAATACCAGAATACCAGAAGCACCACCCAAGGAAGACCATCAGCGCCACCAACACCAATAAACAGTGAAATCGCCTTTGTATATAAATCTAATGTATTGTATGTATTTTAATAAAACTAGGAAATATCACGAACTAATTTTTCATCATCCTAGGTCAGTGCTTATGTGGAGACTTAACCTCTCCCCCAAATTCTTAAACCTAACCCTTCCCATCCCTTAATTGCTGCCTTCAGTTCTGAAAACGTTGAAAATACTGCTCCTTTTTCAAAGCATGTGTTGGGGAGATTGGCAGCCATTTTGGAATTCGTTCTAAACTTGGCTCAGACTCGTCGTAACAATAGCCACTCTGTTAATTAAAAGCAGTTCCAGTTTTCACAAAGTCTGTTTAACAATATCCAAGCATGCCAGATACTGGTTAGCTATAGAAATTTAAAAACTACATTGGTCCAAAATTATTCAAGCCGATCAAAATCTAACTTAATTTACACGACTATCTTTATAAGTAATAAGAATTATGCATATTTTTCGTTTTATATAATACGCCTATGCTGTTGTTTTGGGGATGTGTTTTGCTCGAATGTCCAGTCTTGCATTAAAATAGTATATATCTTTGACTTTTCAGATATATGTGATCTAACTGGCTTGTTGTCTATTAAAACCAACTATTTGAGAACATTCACATTGTTAAATTTTGGGAGAAGAAACTCACCAAGTGTATAAAATGACAGCGTTCTATTAACAGTGTAGATTTATATTACATCTGGGAGTTGCTAGATAATATCAGTCTTACAATGGTCCAATAGACTCATTACTTATCTCATATTGTAGATTACAGAGTTTAATATACGATCTGGGATCCTATACCACTCACTCTAGTAGCAAACAAATACAACTACTATAAACAGTCATAATGTTGGAATATATCTCACGTGTTGAAGATTTCATCATGAAATACCCCAGGTAAATAATATATATTCTAAAATGCATGTGAGAATAACTTGAATATAGTTTGGAATGAGATGGAGAGCCAGTTTTCTGTAGGAATTGATAGCCCAACTGGCACCTTTATCTGTCCACGCTTTATGAGCCATAGTTTTGTAAACCTGCTGTCGGCAGTCGACTATCAATAAGTTTGAACTGGGGTAAATATTAGATAATGTTTGTTTGCTTTTCAAAAACTAAAATAAATACCAATGCCTTAATCATTCGGCATGCAGGGAAGATTAATCTATTTGAAATTCGATGTCATTTAATTGTCGTTGTTCCAAAAACGTGTGCAATAATGTTTCTTCCACAGCTTTTAATGTTTATGAACGCCTCTGCAATACACACCACATTTGATTAAAGAAATATGTAAATAAAATGAAATTAAAAGGAATACAGAATGCATGCTCTAATCTCACATTGAATATGGTATAAAAGCTGTATTCTATTTGCATGACGTGCTTTAACCGCCAATCGTTTCATCGATTAATCGTCCTCTAGTAGGGCGATGATGAATTCGATAATATCTAGTAGTAACGACTGCAATTCGATTCGCCTCACGAGACAAATCCCATAATTGAAAGTGGTACCAAGTGTTCATTAAGGGTTAAGCATATTTTGTCTTAAGCGCGACACTCCCGATTGGCATGACATCATTAAGATAGATAGAGCATCTCTTTATCGTAGATGATTTTCTTTAAAGACGGTTTTCCGTGGATCTACCTTCCATACTTTAAAGATATTATTGTGAGCTTGTGGAACATTTCGGAATTTGTAGCTTATGGGTTATCTAAAATGATGTGGGGGTTGAATATCGGAGTGGGCGGTAGCCTGCAGTCAATGGTTCATGAAACCATTAACATTTATAATCTATCATTACAGTTATTTATTGATGGTTAAACATCCATAATTTTACTAATATACCTACTTCAAGGATGCTTAACATCGGATAACATGTTAATTGATGATGGCCCATGACAAAACTGCCATTTCAGCCGATTTGATACGTTATCTATTTCAGAAGCAATTTCGCATGAACTAATTACTTTAACCCCGGGCTATAGGATGCTAGACGATTAGATTTACAGTTTTAAAAGATTATGACATTTGAATCAAAGGTGTCGATTTTCTACCATTAAATATTGAAATGTATTCCTGTTTTATTTAATAGCCAATTTATTACATAATTAGTGTAGGAGGAACCCACTGAATGCAAGACAAACCCGGGGACAAGACAAACTACATAGACATTGCAATTGCAAACATTAAGTGAATGCAGTCGTAATTCTTCACTGCGCTGTACTGTCACGGGCCTGTGGTGATACTGGTTTCACTCAAAATTAGAAAAAAAAACAAGACGCAATCGAAATAATGACGGTGGTCGCCTCCTGAGTGGCGATTGTCATGAGTTAAAATGTCAAAAATCTGAACTATAATAATAAGAGCGAAAATCCAGATTGAATTACGGAAAACGCTACAAATTGATAAATAAAGTGTAGCGTAAAGGTTTAATGCGTTGGAGCTCACACGAAGGCCTTGTATAGAATACAACTACTAGACTTCTTTAGTCGTTATCCAGCAATGATAAATGGTGTCATATAATATCCAAAATTCTTTTAGTTGTGTAAGTTGAAATGCGACAAATAGTCCAATAAAAATTATTTGGTTAGCTGTTTCATTTAATACACTGAAATATATTAAATCCTATAATTATGTGTTGAAATATAAGAATTGAATAATGTAATAGGATATCCATTTTTACATTGTCAATTCATTAAATAATCTTTCTTTTATAAGACAGATTTTCATATATTGTTGAAATTCACAATTTCTTTCAGTGGCAAATATGTAAGACTACTTTAATACCATGGATTGTTCATAAAGGGGGCGCCCAGGGTCGGAAATATACATTTTGCGAGGTCAGTGTCCCTGTACATGTTAAGGGTTTTAGATGTTTGGAAAAGAATGTTGGGATTGATTGATTAAAAATTTAGGAGTTGTGGCCGTCATCGATACCCTGTAAAAGCTCTTCAGCTTATGCTATAAAGTCACACATCAGGACCAGCAATTCTTTGTGTTGATTTTAATGTTAAAGATACATTCCCGCATACAAACTTTGTGATTTGATGAAATATTTGGACTAAAAACATATTCAAAGTACCCAAATCAAACATTTGCTTCAATTCCCTTTCAAAACTTTGTATTCGCCGGGGATACCTATAACTATAAGTAAGCTGTTGTTAGACGCAATGTCTGCCAACTTAGCTTCAGTGTGGGAGGGTCCATTTTTCAGAATGTATTTATCATTATTTACTGTACATTTACCATACAATATTGAGGCCTAAGTAAATTCTTAATTATTTCTGTCAACTTCTTTTTCCGCCCTTTATAATTGCAGAGTCTTTTGTACGTTGACACCCCTCAATGTTCCCAGAACCGCCTAACCATTTGATCAAGAAATAACAACCGCTCCCTCGCTTAAGCTGGTACACAATAAGCTGGCAGATAACAGTCGGGTTGCCAGTTAGTGATACTCTGACAATTTTGCCCAGTGCTTGCCTAATGGGGTTTTCGGGCAATCCAGTATTTTTCTAGTAAGATTGGGTGTCTATACTTTCCATATATACCACATTTGACATACTTTTATTGGAAATAACCATCCGATAAATATACTGAGCGCCATGGAAAACGCATCACTTAGTTTTTCGTATAACAAAATGATCCTGTAAACATATCTTATTTATTTTGCTTCTTATCATGAACAATATTCAAATGGGAACACATCAATAACAACACATTTGTACACTTATGGATGTTTAATCTGTAATGAACGATACAAAGTCAGAGGGGTCAAAACCAAAAGTACGACACAGATGTCAGTAGCGCGTGTGTCCTCCACGGGCTCTTACGCACGCTGTGCAGCGACGTCGCATGGAATTTACCAATGTTTGAAAGAAGGCCTGGGGCAAATTGTTCCATTCTTGGACAAGAGCAGCTTCTAAAGAAGCAATGGTGTGCATCTGTGGTCTCCGATACAGACGGCGTCCAATCTCATCCCAGACATGTTCTATCGGTGCCATGTCCGGAGACATGGCTGGCCAGTCCGGAGACATGGCTGGCCAGTCCAAGACATTGATGTTGTTAGCAGCCAGGTAGTCCATACTAAAACGGGCGGTATGCGGACGTGCATTATCCTGTTGTAAGTGCTGAGGTTGTGGGTGCGCTCGGAACATCGGAACAACAATTGGTTGCAAGACATCATCACGATAGGCTACAGCATTAACGCGACCCCTGCAAATGTGTTGGGCGGTCCGGTGATGAAATGTGAAGCCTCCCCACACCATTACACTTCCCCCACCCCATCGATTCGTTTCGAAGACGCAGCAGTCTGCAAGACGTTCCCCAAGACGTCTCCAAAAACGTTGACGGCCATCAGCGTGATAAAGATGAAAGCGACTCTCATCACTGAAGAGCACACTTTGCCAGTCTACTCTTCTCCATGTCTGGTGTCCTTGAGCCCATATCAAACGCCGCTGACGGTGATGATCCCTGAGGATAGCTCCAACATAAGGTCGTCGTGCACGGAGTCCTACTTCTCTTAGACGACGTCTTACGGTGTTGGCACTTACTGGTCCTTGTCTTCCGACGACTGCTGCACCTGTTCGAGTCGCTGGGCGGAATCTGTCACGCAGATGAGTGACCCGGATGTAGCGGTCTTGAGCCTGGGTTGTAACGCGTTGTGGACCAGGACGTTGACGGTCACGTGTTGATCCAGTAACTCGAACACGTTCCACCAACCTTACAATAGTGGACTGATGACAATTGAAGTGTTAGGCAATAGCACGTGTAGACATGCCAGCCCTGGACATTCCCATGGCTTCATTCCGTTGATTTTCAGTAAGTCTCGGCATCTCTAGCTCGATTCCTTCATACGTCCAACAACAAATTACGACAGATTGACGTTTCACAGTTCATGTACTGCACATTAAGTTGAAAACATGTTTTTAAAGGGCTCACACACAATGTGCACACGGGCCGGTATTTTTTGCGTTTGGGAGCATTGTGTGAAACAATAGTTCATAGTATTGCATAATATAATACATACAAAACCACCTAGTAATAAAATATTTGGGAAAAAAAAGTGATGCGTTTTCCATGGCGCTCAGTACTTTTCTGGGAAAAGTATCTATAAATCAATGACATTTCTTGACCTGTAACATTTCTTCAAAATCGCTTAATCTTTAAGACCACAAAAAGCTCAACAGGTCACAATCATCTGAGAGAGAGAGAGAGAGAGAGAGAGAGAGAGAGAGAGAATTGCTATATTGCAGACGCACTACAAATGGGGAAAATAATGGTAGTCTGCATCCAAATGTTTCACATAGTATTTGTCCCTTTCCTTAAAATCCTGTCCACAACCAGAAAATCAAATACCGTGTTTTCTTTTCCTCGGATGTGCGAGGATGTTATTGTGGGCGTATATTCTTTGTCACTATGTTTTATGTAGCTTTGTTGTATTGAATCATCCCTGCATTGGCCGTTAAAGTTCATCGGGATTTTCCGACGTGGTTTCCCCTTGTTAGTGGTGCAGGACGGAGGGCCTGACAAGGACAGCTGCCTAGTCGTTCGTGCACGTAAAAGATCTCTTTGCAGGTGGAATTCGATATAAGAGTAGTGCCATAGTAGACAAGTTTCTTCATAGCACACTGTATGGCGTATGCCCGTCTTCATTAGCCCAGTCGGAGCAGGACAGTAGGACGTTAAACCCCATTTCATTTCATTTTATTTGTATTGAATCAATAGGTCCTATTGATAACCTTTTAGTCTCTTGACAAGTGGTTGCTAATCTATCACATCTGAACTCCTACATCAATTTTTTTCACAACAAAATAGAGTGACAAGCAATGATAAAAATGTCGCTTTTTCTTCCCAACAAAATTTCAGTTTTAAAATGATAAAGATTAATACCCTGAGTG